CCATTCATCGAGGCCGTAAACAGCCTGCAGAGAAACGGCCTGCAGAAGTATGAGCTTTCGGTTGCCCGCGCGGATGCATCGGGGTCGGCGCTGCAGCCCCCTCGGAGGCGCTTCGGGCGAAGCCCCTGGCGCGCTGCGCCGACCCGAGAGATCCGCGCGGACTCTCGATACCTTGCGCTTGGTGCAGTGTGTTGCTCTTCGGCGAGACCGCCAGGACCGAATCCCTTCGGCGCTCCCCCCAAGTGTGCCTCTTCCCTCGCTCCTCCTCCGTGACCTTGCATGCTCGTGGACAGTGGCGTGGCGGCGGACGTCGGCCACGCAAACATCGAAAGCCGCGCATGGGGTTGAGTTGCGGGTCGGGCTTCTTCTGGTGGGGTTTCTTCCGGTGACGCGTGACGCCACAGCGCAGTGAAAAATTGTGCCTCTGCAGGGCCCGCCCTGGGGCCGAGGCCGTGCCGGCTGCCGAGCGGTCCCGCGCCACCCGACGCGCGGCCCGCTCTCGCGGCCGCGCGGGCCCCGAGGCTGGGCCAGCCGTGCCGCGGCGCGCGGCTCCGGACCCGTTGAGGGTCCACGAACCGACGGTGAAACCGAGATGGGCGGCGACCAAGGTCGGCACCGACGTTTCCGCGCTCTGCCCTGGCCATGATCACCGTGCTGTTCCCCTCCAGCCCAGACCCCGACGTCAGATCTTCCTGTTCAAAACGTCGACCCCCAGAGGCCTCGACCCATTCCCGGGACCGGCCCTTCCTCCCGTGCCGTTGCCTGACGGCCCCGAGACTCGGCAGGGGGCCCCAGAGGCCGAAAATACGGAACAACCTTCCGCCCACTTTTTTTCAGGTTCGCTGCTTCTCTTGGCTGGTGCTAGCTTTCGCCGCAATCAGCGGCTCATCAGGCTTGAGCCTAAATTGGCTCTGGATTCGCACTCTACCTGCAAGGAGGAAAGACTGGTCTACCCTGTAAGAACGGTTTTTTGAAGGCAGATCTGCCTTCAAAAAATTCGTGACCCCGAGGGGGTCTGAGCATCTCGCCCGTGCCGAGCTGCGCGCCACGACGCGGGCGCTGCTGCGGGCGCACGGCGTGGGCCGGGCGAGGGCCGCCGAGCCGTCGGGGGCAGGCGGCGGCGCGCGGGCGGGGCCTGCCGGGCGGGCGGTTTTTTGGCGGGGGGCCCACTTCGGCCATGCAGGCGGTCGTCTGGCGAGGTTCAGGAGGGGAAGAAACACACAGACACAAATAATCGGCGATTCCCAGAAGATATGGGAAAATATGGGAAGTTGGGGGGAGGACAGAAACCCAGAACATATGGGAAAATATGGGGAATTATTTTATTTGTGTGTATTTATTTGTGTGTCCTGGGGCCCCTTGAAAGGTTCCAATGAACGCGGATTTCTGAGATCAGAAAGACAATGGTCGGGCTGGGGGGGAGGGGTTGGGAGAGATGATCATCGCATCCATATTGCCGCGTATGTTGAAGGTGCTTATTGTACAGTCGTCCCCTGTAAGTTCCCAACTCCTTCCTCCCAACACGATGATTTAATCGCTTCGCTCATTGCGCCGGCCCTGGAGCCCTCTTTAGGGCCTCTTGGGGGCCTCTTGGGGACCTCTTGGGAGTCTCTGGGGGCTCCTTGGCGGCGTCTTGGGGGCCCCCAGGGCCTCTTGGGGGGCTTTTGGGGGCCTCTTGGGGCGGGAGGGGGGGTAGTCGATTGCGGCTCCCCCCTCGAGGCCACGATCCTTGCGATGTGTGTCGAAAAATGGCCCTCCCCTGGAGTGCTCTGGTGGCTTCTCCTGGGACCTTGCCGGGGTACTTTTCGTTTGGGGGCCCCCAGGCGTACAGAAAGCTATGGGGCATCCTGGGATGTTGTCTCTAGTTGTGTGTTCCATGGGCCTCTTTATAAAGGTATCTGGATTTCGAGGAGGACGGGATGGGTGCTGCGGGATTCAGCGCCACAGTCGAAGGGTAGGGGGATCTGCTGGTCCCGGGGGAGGCAAGAGGGATGTTTTTGGGGCACCACATCTTGAATCCATCATCTTTACTCTTGCCTCTGCCCCCTACTTATAATTATTGTTAGTAGTTGCGGCCTCGATGCGCAGTCTAGACGCGGCCTTCCCCCCCCCTCCCCCCGTCTGGGTTCGTAGATGTCCGTCCCAGCCCATCCCTTCGCGTCTGTACCTTGTGTCGCAGTCAAGCCTTTCGTTCCTCTCTTTCTCTGCCGACTCGCTCTTTCTCCCCAGTGAAGAATCTGACACGGCTCGGCCATGGTGTGGCCACAGTTTCACAAGTTGTTCGGGTTCCCGCGTCCAAATTCGATGCCATTCGGGGTCCCACTCAGAAACGGCTTGCAATATTCCTTCTTAACCAGTCCTTCGTTCTCGGATTAAACACATGACCTTGGACAGGTTGCACCTTGAACGTGCAATCATACAGTAGGCGCGCAAAGTCAGATTTTTTTGATGTGCCAACGAGTGCCCCATTCCGCATCTCCCGAGTGGGGCACGGAGCCCTGGGGCCTTTTGCGAAGCTCGGAGTCGGCCAAGGATGTGTCCCTAAATTGCTTATAGCAAGATTTCAGATCGTATGCGCCTACCGGATCTGCAAATCGCGTTGCCGTCCGCTACTTTCCCAAATTCTATGTTCCTCGTGGATCAGGTATGCGCGCTGGCGAGGTCGTGGTGGTTCTGCCGGTCTTCACCGAGAGCCGGAAGGACGACCCGGTCGTTCGACAGCAGCCCAGCTTCGCCCTGGCCCATGACACGAATGGGTATGGGCCATTTATGGGTGAGAATTTGTGCCCAGCAGGTTTCAAACTTTGGAGGATTCCTTCTCTGATGAGGGCGGCGTTGATATCCGTGGCCAATCCACGATTGGAGTTCCACCAGCTTTCAGACCCTGGATCCCTTATCCAGTCATTCCTTATCCCGTGCCCTCACCGTAATTGGTTCAGCTCATGTACCTCGCGGTGGGGCGATGGCGTTCTGTGGCATGGCCCCTCCTGCCTCCGTCCTTTCTCAGAGCAGGGGGAGCCGAGACATCAGACATCGGTAGTTGGCGTTCGGGGGGCCACCTCGTCGCGACGGCTGGGCGCAGCTCGGAAATCTGGTGCGCCCGGATCCTCGGAGGGGTCCGGGGGCCGATTTCGAGTTGCCGTTGCCTCGCCCTGCCCTGCTCCGAGCTCCCCTGCCCCTTTTTCACCCGCCTCGCGCTCCCCATGCAGGCCCTCGGGGCTGCACTCGATCGGCGGCAGATCTGGAGCGGGCGCGCCCCTCGCCACGACGAGGGCAGCAGCGGCCACGCAAGGGGCTCGGCACAGAGCGCCGCGGAGGAGCGCGGAGCGTGGCATGCCCGGGTCCCAGGAGGCATCTGCAGGCGTCGGGCCGCTCGGTGGGCCGTGTGCAGCGTCCGCGTCGGTCGCGAGTGAACAGAGGGATCGCCCACGTGGCCTCGTGCTCTGCGTCCCCGCCCTCTCGTTGCACCACCCTTCCCCCGTCGCGGCGAGGACGAGCTCCTGGAGCAGTGGTCGCAGAACTACCTGGAGTTCGAGGACCGCTCGTGCTCGCGCCTGGTGCGCGGCGCTGGCTGGACATCTCGGGCCCCTGCGCTTCGGAGGGGCAGAGGCCTCGTGCTGGTCTCGCGCGGGAAGCAGAGGGGGACCTTCCCCATTACTAGCGAGAGGGGATGGGCATGTACTGTCCACGATCGAGCAGGCTCGTCGCTCAGGGGCCAGACTTCTCAACAGCCAGACTCCCGCCAGGGCGCCCTGCCACGGCCCCGACCTCGGTCGCTTGTTCATCCACTGGGGAGGTCGCACGACCTGTGGTTGTCAGGATGCGTTGGGCCTCCAGCCTTGACAGCATGGCGAATGTGCCGAGCTACCCATTGCTAATCTTCGTTCGGTATTGCTAATCTTCGTTCGGTATTGGACCGTCATTTCCTCATCAGTGGTGCGCCCACCAGATGAGTTCCTCACTGCCTCTCTCTGCTGCTCCTTCTCCACTTGTCCCAGCCTGGGGCGTGTCGCTCCTCTCGCCAGAAGTCCCAGAGTGGGACGTCTGTGCACTGCGTGTGGATTAATTTTCCCAGCTCTAACACGACCGCGCACTGCCTTTTGAGCCCCGAGTGGCCAATCCCTCACGCAATTCGTCTCCTCACGGGGCCACAGGGGATCAACTTAAGGCCCTTTGTGGGTCAGCATCGTTCGCGTGTGCACACAATGAGCCACGCCTGAGACATGTCATCCACCCCTTCCCGAGAAGGAGGTTGAGGGTGGCGGGGCGGGGGATGAGCAGGAAGATGGGCAGCAGCAGGAGGACGATGGTGACGAGGAGGAGGAACTAGGAGGAGGAGAAGGCTGAGGGATGAGGGGATGGTGAAGGCGGAGGCGCAACATGAGAAGGGTGTGACTGTGGACGAGAAGGTGGAGAGAAGTGCCAGGTTCCTATTCTAGACTCTAGACGCTTCGCGTAACCCCACCAGCCCATCGCGCGTGTGCGCTCGTGGGGCCGTCTTGGGGCTATTTTGCGCCATTGTGGAGCTATCCTGAGGCCTGGGGGGCCCATCCGAAGCGAAAGGGCGAGAGGGCCGAAATCATGTATGTTTTTTTTGTCAGCTTGCGGGCCTCCTTGGAAGTCTACATGGCCACTTGGGGCAATCTTGGCGACATCATGGGGCCTCTTGGAGGTATCTTGGATGCCATCTCGGGCAAACTTGGGCCACATGCGGCATCTTGGAGGCCGTCTCAAAGAGGCTGGAGCCATCTGGAGCCACCTTAGAGCCCACACGGGCCAAGAGCTTCCAAAGGATACCCACGAAAAGCTAACCTCGTTCAACACCTGTTTGTGTGTTTCAATGCTATGGCTTACCGCAGAAGATGTGTACTCAATGAGCGCCCCCCCTCTGGAGCCTCCAATATCGCCTCTTGGGGGCGCTCTTGGGGCCGTCCTGGGCACTCTAGGGACCGCCTTGGAGCCACCTTGGGTCCCTGCTGGGGCCATCTTGGGCCATCTCGGAGCAATATGGAGGCCTCGGGAGCCCATCGGAAGCGAAGGGGCGAGAGGGTCGAGATCATTGATTTCCTCCAGGTGTTTGACGGATGCTGGCCTCTTGGGGGCCTTCTTGGGAGGCTCCGAGGCCACCTGGACCCGTCGTGGACCTGGTCTTGGGGTCTCTTGGAGAATGTTGGACGCCATCCTGAGCGATCTTGTGCTATCCTGGGCCATCTCGGAAGCCCTCGGGAAGCAATCTTGGACGCTCCAACGACCCGCCGCCCCCCCGTCCAGGTCCAGGGAGAGGGGCAGGGGGAGGGGTCAAGACACCCTACCCGCCGGCAAGCTGTCTCGCTCACTCCCACCCGCCCTGCCAACACATAAGTAGCACACTCGCCTCAGCATGTTCAGCAGTCGGCAGCTACTGGGAACCAATACAGGTCCCATGTGCGCGATGGGGCGAGGTGCGCCACGCGTGCCAGGCGCTCCAGGTGCGCCTGGCACCCCTGGGGCCCAAGCGTGCCAGGCACGCCTCGCGCGCCAGATGCGCCACGTGCTCTACATGCGCCATGTGTGCCGCCAGGTGCGCCACGTTCGGGGCACGCGCAGAGTGTGCCGGGTGCGCCCACGCCCGTTACAGCCCACATCGGAAGACATGTCGCCCCCGACTATCCTTGTCGAGAACCAGTGCGCACATCGCGGAGGGGAGGTCATCATGGTGTTTGGTGGGCCTGCACACAGCAGGCAATACGCACCAACCTCCGCGGCCCATGTCAAACACCAATAGACAGTGATCGCGGGGTGGCCGCGCATGGTCCAGATTTACCCGCGAAGTGCATGGTGTGCTGTTTTTTTGGCAGGCGCGAAGTAGGCACTATGAGGGCACCACCGCCGCCCAGACCGAAAAACAAATTACACCTGAGACAGCCCCAATCAGTGGATGATTTGAAAATTAGTCATGTGTATCTTGAGATCGATTGTGAGATCGATAATGAGATCGATAGTGTAATCGATAGTTGACGATTGTAAGGTCGATCGTGAGACCGAGAGTGAAATCGATTCAATGAGATCGAATGGGAGATCGATCCCGAGATCGCTCGTGCGATCTCTAGTGAGATCGCTTGCGAGATCGATTGTGAGATCGATGGTGCGATCGATAGAGAGGTGGGAAATGAGATCGATGCTGAGACCGATCGAGAAGAAGATCGCCCAGGAACCTGGGAACCTGGGAACCTCGCCGCCCATCGAGATCGGCCCGGGAACTGGGAACCCAGGAACCCGGAACCGGGAACCCTGGAACCCGGCCTGCCACCAAAATCGGCGTGAAACATTCGCCTTCTTTTTCGAAATCGGCCCGGGAACCCAGGAACTCGGAACCGGGAACCCGGGAACCTGGCCTGCCACCAAAATCAGCGTGAAACATTCGCCTTCTCTTTCAATATCCGCTAGGACCCCTTCAGTGCAAGCACTGATTGGGGAACAATTCAAAGTACTCGTGGGGCCAAAGAGCATGACCCAAGATTTTGCCCTAAAGTGCCCAAAGTGTGCTTCGTATTGTTTTTTGACACGGATGGGGAGGTGGCATTGGTCCTGGTGTGCTGCCGGTCGCCTGGGGGAGGGGGTGCTTACTAATGGGGAACAGTTATCAACCCCTCCCCGACGGGGAAGACAGGGGGTTGGAAGAGGAAACTCCCCAAACCACTCACGCCCTAAAGGGCTGGTGGGACTCGTCCGCACTTTTGGAACACGTGAGGACACATACCCCTAGCACAGGTGGTCTCCAGGGCACCCCTTGAAGAGGCCCAGATGGCCCCGTGGACTTCAAACTGGCGCGAAAAGCTGGGGACACCTTGGGCCAGGATCGCTCTGTCAACCTCCAGTCGTCCTCCTCATCCTCCGCTTCACTTCTTCATCTCTTCCTCCTCCTCTTGCTCCTGCTCCTCCTCCTCCTCCTCCTCCTCCTCCTCCTGCTCTCCTCCTCCTCCTCCTCCTCCTCCTCCTGCTCCTCCTCCTCCTCCTCCTCCTCCTCCTCCTCCTCCTCCTCCTCCTCCAGTCTCCTGCCGCCCTCGCCTCCGCTGAGGACTGCATCTTCGACCTGCACCTGTACCAGTGCTTCGGCATGGGGTCCGCCGCGCCTCCCTCGCCCCTGCTCCTGCAGGTGACTCCTCCGCTCTTCCGTTGGCCCCCCCCTCCCCTTAGCGTCAGCGCACCGCGGAGCAGCCGGCTCAGGCGCGACGCTCTCGAGGTGTGAGCGTGTGTGAATGTGTGCGTGTGCGTGCGTGCGTGCGTGAGTGAGTGCGTGCGTGCGTGCGTGCGTGCGTGCGTGCGTGCGTGCGTGCGAGTGTGTGTGTGTGTGTGTGCAAGCGAGATGTGTGAACACACGGACGAGGTGCGTGTGTGTGTGTGTGTGTGTTTTGGTTGCGTGTGCCGGCGAAGGGCGGCCCGCCGTGTTTGGGACTGCTCGGTGTCCTCGTGTCGCCGTCGCTTCGCAGCGCTCGCATCCTCGGCCCCCGGTCGGCGCGCCACCGCTGCCCCCTCCTTGTCTCCCTGGCGCCCCTGTGCAGTCAAAGCCAGCCTTCAGTGCCAGCGCAAGAAATGCCCGTATCCTTGACGTCCTTGGAGAATCCGTTGGCGTCCTGTCCTCCTGAGGAGCTCCGACAGCTTCTGAGAGATCTTCTGGATTCTGGATGCCGGCTTCTGCTGGAGGACGCTTCTATTGGAGGACGCTGGAGAATCTCTCCTTGCTGCCTTGGCATCTTGGGCGTCCGTATCCTTGGCGTCCTTGGCATCTCTAGGCTCCAGGTTTCCTTGCCATCTCTTTGGCGTCCCGCGCCAGCCCCGTAGTTTTGGACGGCGGCGGTTCAAGGGCACACGGGAAGCCGTCACATGTGTCACTCCTTGTCCATAAGTTTGGGAGAGCCGCGTTGAGGATGGTGGTTATGGCGATGACGATGATGATGACGATGATGACGATGATATTGATGGTGATGATGAAAATTATGATGACGATGATGCGTAGGAGGATGATGTTGACGATGTTCATGCTGATGATGATGCTGCTAATGATGCTGATGCTGATGGTGATGATAATGGTGATGATGATGGGGATGATGATGGGGATTATGATAATTGTGGTGGTGATGGTGCTGCTGCTGATGATGATGGTGATGGTGATGGTGATGCTGCTACTGCTGATGATGATAACGATGTTGGCAGCGATGATTGTGATGATGATGATGATGGTGATGATGATGCTGATGATGATGATGATGATGGTGGTCGTGATGATGATGACGATGGTGGTGATGACGATGATGCTGATGATGATGCCGACGCTGATGATGGTGGTGACGGATATGTTGTTGTTGATGATGATGATGCTTGTTGTAATGGTGGTGATGATGGGGATGATGGTGATGTCGATGATGATGAGGATGATGATGATGACGGTGATACTGATGATGAGGCTGGTTGTGATGACGATTGTGACGATGATGATGATGATGATGATGACGATGACGACGATGATGATGATGATGATGAGGATGATGATGATGATGATGATGTTGATGCTGATGCTGATGCGGCTGCTGATGCTGATGTTGCTGTTGATGTTGATGCGGATGCTTTTGATGATGCTGATGGCGGTGGTGGTGATGATGATGCTGCTGATGATGATGATGATGATGATGATGATGATGATTCTGATAGCGATGATGCGGATTGCCATGGCGATGGTGGTGATTGCGATGGCGATGCTGATGGTATGGTGACGGTGTTGAGGACGGTGACGAGGATACTGATGGTGATGATGATGCTGATGATGATGATGATGAGGAGGAGGAGGAGGAGGAGGAGGAGGAGGAGCAAAGGGAATGCCGTCTGATGCGGCACCTTCGGTCGAATGGCAAATTGAGCTGGCTTAGGGCTGCCTTGGGCTCCTGTGGGGCAGGCTTGGGGGGCCCTCTTAAGCCCTCTTTGGATATCTTGGCGCCCTCTCCGCCGTATCGGTGATGTCTGGGGGTCGTCGTGGGGCCGTTGTGGCGTCATCTTGGGCCGTCCAGGAGCTTTCTAAGACTATCTTGGGTCGCCTCTGGAGGAACCTCTAGGCCCATCTTGGGGCCGTCTTGGATGCACCTCGCGCCATCCTGGGGTTATCCTGGGCCATATTTTGACCCTCCTGGGGTTATCCTGGGCAATATGTTGACCCTCTAGGGGGCCTTTTAGGGCGATCTTGGAGGCTTCTTGGGTAGTCTTCGGCCTGGTGGAAGCTCTTCAAGGCGGGAGGATGTGATAACCAATCAACCATAGAAATTGTTCAACATCGTCGGCCCCAAGCCGTAAGTTACTGCACCGCGGATGTGTAAGCTATGTGATGCAGGCTATGTGGCTCCAGGTTATGTGGTGCAGGCTGTGTGGTGCAGGCTCTGTGGTGCTATCCACGTGGTGCAGGATGTGTGCCTGGTGCAGGACACGTGATGCGTGGTGCAAGCTCTGTGGTGCCTGGTGCTGTGTGGTGCAAGCTCTGTGGTGCCATCTGCGTGGTGCAGGATGTGTGCCTGCTGCAGGACACGCGATGCGTGGCACGCGGGGCGGCCGCGGGGCGGCCACGGGGCGGCCACGCGGCGGCCGCGCGGCGGCCACTCGCGGCCACGGGGGGCCACGGGGCGGCCACCGGGGGGCCACCAATAGACATCGCCGGGTGGCAGCAAGACGAATGCGAAGCACGGAGTGCAAGCGCACGGTCGGTGGAATTCGTCAGCTCGACTTCTGCGGACCTGGTAGGGGGCATTCGTGTGGCCGGGCCCTCACGGGAGCACCTCGGGCCGTGTTGAGGCCATCTTGGGCTGCTTTGGGGGCCACACTCGGCCGCCACGGCCACGGGCAATCTCGGCGGCCTTGGTAGCCTGCCCGGGTCGTCTTGGAAGCCATCCTGGGCATCCTGGACGCCTTGGAGAGCGCCAGGGAGGCGTCGGGGCGCCCGGAGACCCTCGGGAGGGGTGGGCGACGCATGCTCCTCCTCCTCCTCGCGCCCTCCTCCTCTGCAGTTGCACATTCGGATCTCGACTCTCCTCTCTACCCCGATTCGGATCTCGACTCTCCTCTCTACCCCGACTCTGTCTGGAAGGTGCTCCGCCCCCCCGCGCATTCTTCCACCACGCAGCAGCGGACAGCAGTTCTGCTCGCTGGTGCTTGACCGTCCGATCGTGTTGCCGCGCGGTGCCCCCGCTGCAGCGTGGCCCACCCTTCTGGATCGGCGCTCTGCTCGGGGGCGGAAAAGAGGGGGGTGATGACTAGGGGTGGGGGTGGATATCATGGCGGGGGCCATGACATTTCCCCTGATGTTATGGCGCCCCTTCTTATTTCATTACGTCCCTGGCCCCCCCGCTGGGCCGCGCACGTGCCGCCGGTCATGACTCGCCCCCCCCCCTCTTGGACACCCCCCTCTTGGCCGCTCCCGCTCTGCTCCCCTCGCTCGCAGCTCTCGCCCCGGCGTGGGCCACTCTCCCGGTTCCGAGTGCTTCCCCCCGCCGCCCCCCCGTCCCCATGCAGTGGTCTGCATGCTCCGCCCGCTCCTTCCGCTCCAGCTCCCGCTTGTTGCTGTTGTTGTTCGCCGTCGTCCGCCTCCCTCCTCCTCCTCCCTCTCCTCTCTGGATCCTCGGCCTTCCCCTGGTCCTCCTGCTCTTCCCTTCTCCTTCCACTCCAATTCTTGCTGCTGCTGCTCGTTCTCGTCGCCCTCCTCCTCCTCCCTCATCCCCTTCCTTTTCCTCCTGCTCATCCTCTTGCTCAACCCGGCACCTCCGCCTCTCGGCACCTCCGCCTCCTCCTCTCCCTATGCACGCAGCTCCCCTTCTCCGATTGCGCATAACACGGTGTTGTTTTTTTGTAGTTCCAGGTCGGCTACCTATACGACCGCCCTGCGGGCGATAAGGAGGTTGGGAGGGGGGGATTGAGATCACATCCCCACCCTGACTGACCTCCAGCCTGTCACCTTGATCTCAGCTCTCTCTTTCTCTCTGTCTCTCTCTTTCTCTCTCTCTCTCTCTGTCTCTCTCTCTCTCTCTCGCCCTCTCTCTACCTCTCTCTCACTATCCCTCTCTCTCTCTCTCTCCTCTCTATTGGAAGAGATGGATTGGACAAGATAAGATGGATTGGTTTGGCCCGCCGCAGGCGCAGAAACAAATGAATTGATGGATTGGGCTGGGTGGATTGAAGTGGGTGGGATACGAGAAAATGAGACAAAATGGGTTGGACCAAATAAGATGGACTGGATTGGACAAGATGGATTGGATAAGAAAGGCCGCCGCAGGCGCCGAACAACATGAATTATGAAATTAGCGACATGCGTTAGCGCCGAGACGCCCGGGACACCCGGGACACCCGGGACACCGCCCGGCCCAACAGGGACACTTCCCGGTCACCGGCGGACGGAAACGGGCTTTCGCTCCTGCTTCGGCCTAGCTACAGGAGGATCACGCGCAGCTTCGCCTCGCCCGCACGCACGACACGAACACGAAGCCGAAACCGATGTCCTGGTGGGGGGTCTCCGTTTTACTGCGATCTCACCCCCAACCTCCGATGACACGCGTCCGCGGACAGATAAAACATCAGCGCAATGGGCAGGGACTGGAGAGAGGGATAGGATGTCAGCGAGCGCACCTGGCTTGTCTCCCCCCACTTACCTTTCTCCCCTCCTCCTCCTCCTCCTCCTCCTCCTCCTCCTCCTCCTCCTCCTGCCTGTCTGTGCTGGTGGTGCTATCGCTTTACCATTTGCAGGATCTGGGCACAAGTGCACGCTCCCGCTGTGGCGCCAGCTGCATTTTTGGAGCGCGCGGAGCTTGGATGCTGCATTTATCAAGCATGTTCTAACTCAAGCGCCTCCCGCAAAAAAAACAGGGTGTCTTTGAAGACTAGCGGCTTAATTTGACCGGCTGGGTTGTTAAGGCGTAGTAGTTTTACTCGTTTCGACGTTATGTTCTGCTGGGACCCCCCCCTCTCCTTCCCTTCCTTTGGCTCCCGCCTCCTTCGCCCCTCCCCTTCCTCCTCTCTCTCTCCACCTGCCGGGCGCGTGCGAGTGCATGGCCAGCACGTGCAGCCGTGTGCAGTCTCCGAGAGTGCACGGGTGCAGTCCGGCATGGGCCCCGGGCCAGAGCTGGGGTGTGTCCGTTGCCCTCGTTGCGGTCGTGGTGCTCCCCCCACCAAAAGAAACAGTGCGTGCGGCTAGGGCTGTTGCAGCCGTGGGGGGGAGTCTCCTGAAGAATTCGGGAGCCTACCAGACAGCACTTGGCCCTCTATCACGCCTCAGCGCGCCAGGGGGCACGGTGGTGGATTCTCTCTCTGTCGAGGCCGTTTTGACTGTCACTTCAGTTGCGCCTCCGGCTGCCCGCGCCCCGCGGTTGGAGATTGTTTCTCGGAGAAGGATTCTTTTGTCGCCGGGGGGCAGTGGTATCGTTTGCCCAGGCAGCCGAGGACGGGCAGACGAGGGATGGTGAGTGCGGCCGGACCGAGGTACAAGATCGAGGTCGGTTTGGGGGAGGGTGCCCTCATGTTCTTCGTCTTCGTTGGATGCTCTGGTGCATCCTGGAGGAGAGGGCACCCTTGAGTGCTCTTCAATTCGGGCTAGCGGAGGGTCTCATGTTCTTGATGTATGCTCCTCTGTCCTAGGTCCGACCGTAACAGGCACAGGGCAACAGCAGGAGGAGGTGCTGGAGGAGGAGCAGCAGCAGCGGATGGACAGCGGTAATGGTGGCGCCGCCAAGGTGGAACTTGTTGCCGGAATCGCAGCACCTGAACAGGGCCAAGGCCTTCTTTTCTTCGCTGTGCTCGCTGCCTCCCTCTCAGTCACAGGCCTCACCCGTTTGGAACAAAAAGCCGGAAGATGGTTGTTTCTGTGCTCGGGCTTCTGGAGGCTCGTTCGTTTCCCGGGGGCCCACAAGGACCAGCCCACGGCGCGAATTCACACAGAAGATGGGATCGACGGCTTGGGACACTCACGTATTGAACCGAGAAAGACTTCGGAGGTGTTGGTTGTTCATCCCACTCCGTTCTGCTCATTAGTTCCCTTCAAATTCTTTTCGCCTGTCCTCGCTCTGCGCTTACGCTCTTCCCTCTCGCCCTCTTCGTGACCCTCAGAAGTGCCAGCCGTTTTCTGGTCATCCTCTCCGTGCTAATCCCTTTTGTTTGCTGGCCCTATTTCTATGCGCGCCCATGTTTGTCGCTTTCCCAGCGCTGGCCACGTCGGCAACGCACTTTCAGCGCACATTCGTAAGGCGATTCATGTCACCATCACATAGATAGCAGCCTCGCCGTCGAACTTGACAACGCCGAGCATAACAACCATTTTCACTACGTAGTGGCCGCAAGCATTACCTACCCTTATCATTGATGCACGTCGCTGGTAGGTGTGAGCGTCTATCCATGCCGCAGTGGCCGTGAGTTTCAATCATTTGCGAGTTCAATGTAGTTTTGAAGTCCGTACCCCGATACTGACGCGGATATGGTCGAGAGATTATTCCAAGTCTTCCTTCCACTGGGTTCCCGATCATGATCACGTACCGTATACTACTCCTTCTCACTATCCTGCTTCTCCTCCGTCTCCTCCTCTTGAACCTCCGCGCTTGCCCTCTTTCACCGCTTCGGCCTCCTCCATTATTAATGCTCCGTCTCCTCCTCCTTCTCCTGCTCCTCAACCTCGTCCTCGCCCTCCTCTTCCCCTTACTCCTGCTCCTGCTCCTCATCCTCTTCTATCGGTTTTTGTTCCCCCCCCCCCCACATGCCGCAGCCCAACCATTGCTGTTTCATGGCCTTTTTTTGTTCTAGCACCTCCTCCTTCTCTTCTCCCTCCTCGATTCTCCTGGTCGTCGTCGCTCTCATCCTGCTCCGCATGGCTCCATCTTCGTCCTCATCTGTCCGCGCCTTCGGCGCCGTCGCCGTGGTCACTGGTCACTGCCGTCGGCCTCGTCGTTGCTCCCTGGTTCCTCCTCTTTTCGGCGTTCGATCACGGAGCCCCTGTGGAGCGCACCCGTCCAAGCCTCTGCGACGGATGCACTCGCACTCACGGCCGACCGCCGAAGGCCGCCAGAAGACCGCCGAAGACCGCCAGAGGACTGCCGAAGACCGCCGAAGTCCTCCCGAGGCTGGAGGGCAATACGTAAGACTCTCTGGAGGCAGGATGTCCCCCTGCCACAGTCTCCGGGCACAGCCCTCTTACGGTAAGAGGTCTGTGCCCGGAGACTGTGGCAGGGGGAAACGATTCGTGGACACTCCCCGCTCCCCCAAGCTCGGGGAAGCGATTCGTGGACACTCCCCCGCGCCCCCAAACTCAAAGCTGGCGCGCGCGGGGGAGATTGCGGTGGAAGTGCAGCTCACCAGGCCAGCCGCCAACTTTGTGAACACTGGGGGGAGGGGGAGGCGTTGGCCGATGAATGTGGCAGGCGTGTTCGCTACTTTTTTCTGAGGCCTGTATTTTGCCGCGGCGCTGGCGAGCGCACGGCGCGGGAGGGCGAGGCTGGCTGGCTGCGGAGAGGGGGCTGCGGGGGGCGAGAGCTTAGAGCAGGCCTCACGCCGGTGCCGCGGCCCAGGCTCCAGGCAGGTGTCCTGCGAAATGGCGGCCCAGGGGGCTGCGCGTTGAGTGTCTTGCCAGGGCGCAGGAGCCACGTTCGAGCACGCAACCTCCTCCTCCACCTCGTCCTCCTCCTGCTCCTCGTCGTCCTCCTCCTTCTCCTCCTCCTCCTCCTCCCCCTCCTCCTCCTCCTCCTCCTCCTCCTCCTCCTCCTCCTCCTCCTCCTCCTCCTCCTCCTCCCGCGGTGAACGTGCCGGTACAGGGGGGAGCGCGTCACACTCCGCACCCGAGAGCCCCGAGGGGTGCCGCCATGGCGGGCCCCCGGCGGCGAGCAGCGGCGCGCGCGGCCCTGCACCTCCTCGCCGTCGGTGCCGCCAGCCTGCGCCGTGCCGCGGCCGCGCCGCCGCCGCCGCAGCCGACGCTCGTCTTCTCCGCGGGCTTCTCCTCCGACGCGGTGCTGCAGCGCGGCCGCCCCGCCTCCGTGTACGGCCTTGTGGGCAAGACGTGTGTCCACACCCACTGCATTCGGGAGCTCCGGGCGCCCTTCCCCAGACACCCGAGGCGCAGTGGGCGTGGATAACAGAGCACTTGGCCCCTCTATAGAGGCTAGCTGGCTAGCTGTTTGTCCATGTGCAGTGCGCCTCGGCCTCGTGGCGCCCCTTCCCAGCAAGCCCGAGGCGCAGTGGATAGGGGCAGAAGTCTTGCCCGCAGGCTTCGCCTCCGGGGCCGCGGCGCCCCGCGTCTCCGTCGCGGTCGCGGGGGCCGACGCGGCGGGCGCCGCCGTCTCGTACGAGGCGGCGGCGGCACGCCGAGAGGGGAGGCGAGAGAGGGGGCGGGCCGTCCGAGGAGGCGGCGGGGCTTCTCAGAAGCGCCCCGGCCTTCTGAGGAGCCCCCCGCCCCAGACCTCTTCGCGTTGTGAAGAATGTCGCGACGGGAGGTGCTTCGCTAGTTTCGGCCTCCGGGTGCCCTTCCGCGGCCTCGGGACCGTCAGGAAACGACTCGGGATGAGAAACCGGCCCCATGAAGGGGTCCAGGCCTCTGGGGGTCGACGTCGGGGGTATATGGGACCCCCTGTGGCTTCGGAGAAGGCTTACGGTCAGGAAGTGTGGCTTGGCGCGTCGCTCCGCTGGTTCTGGCCGACCGCTCTGCGGCGCGACGCGCCATCCGCATCCCCGCCCCCGAGCGTCAACGTCCCGAGCCTTGCCCAGCTTCCCGGCTTGAGGAGCGGAGCGACACGCTGTCCGCTCGCAGGGCACAGCGTGTCGCCGGGGCCGCCGCCGCGACAGGCTATCCACTGAGCTCCCCACCGTAGACCGTAGACAGCTTCTCGGAAGGCTTGGAGGCCTCCTGAGCCCTCTGAGTGCGCCGGCCCCCTCTCACTGCCCCCCGTGGGCGCGCCGCCGGAGAGGTGGCGGCGGAGGTCTCGAGCTGGGGCGGCGACAGCTGGCAGCCGGACACCCAGCCGGCGCCGCCCCACGGGCCGTGGGTGTGGAGGGCCGTGCTGCGAACCGCCGCGGCCGGAGGGGAGCCCGGGGTTGAGCAGAGCCTCGTCGCAGACGGCGACGTCGGCGGCGGCGACGACGACAACGGCGACGACGACGACGACGACGGCGACGACGACGACGACGACGACGACGACAATGACGACGACGACGGCGGCGACGACGACGAAGACGGCGGCGGCGACGGTGACGACAACGACGACATGGGTCAGAAGAGGAAGAGGTACCGATACTGCTACCCTTCCTTCTTTTCTCGCCATTGCGGGCCTCCTGGGGGGACCCTCGTCGCCGCGGCAGGACTCGCCTCGAGATTCTGGTCAGAGCACGCCCTTGGAGAGGTCCGTGGAGGAAATGGAAGTACGGGCATTGTTGGGCTTCCCCAGGAGTCCGAGGAGGGTGCACGGGCACGCCCGCCCGGCCTTTGCCCTCTCCTCTCCTCCAGCTTCCCCTCCCACGTTGTTATCCCCTGCTCGCCTCCCCTGACCCCTCCTACTCCCCTCCTCCTCCCCCCCAGACCCAGCGGCCGCCGAAGAGAACAGATCGTGGCGGGGCCGTCGTGCAGTTCTTGAGGCCCAGGGCCGTAAGAGGAGACGATGCGGGGCCAAGAGCCGGTCCCCAGGGACCGCGGACTCAAAAGGCAGCGGCGTCGGAGGTCTGGGCTTTCCAGGGGGGAGCGCGCGGCAGGCGTGTGTGCCTGCCCCCTCAGGAGTACACCATCACGGCCAGCGACGGCTCGACCCACGGCTCCGCGTCGATCGAGCGGGTGACGTTCGGGGACGTGTGGTTCTGCTCTGGCCAGTCGAACATGGCCCTGATGACATACTTCACCTTCTCCGCGGATGCGCTCAAGGTCGGAGGGAGGAGAAGCGATACCAACACCACCAGGGGGCCCACCGCCAGCGAGGAGGTCCACGATGCCTCCCCGAGCTGGAGGCCGGGGATGTCTCGAGCGAGAGGGGGGGACCACACCACCAGGGAGTTCCCCCTTGCCTCCTCGCATCTCCTCGCCCTGTTGGTGCTGGTGTCGCCTTCCCTCGTTCCTGTCGAGGAGGAGGTCCAGCAGGGGAAGTACGCGAACGTCCGGCACTTCCAGGTCGGCCACATGAACCGCCACTACGCGGCGTTCGGCCCCCAGTGGGCGACCACGCAGAACAGCCTCGCCGCGGGGGAGGCGTTCGTCTGGCACAACCTCACCAGCTCCGCCGCGCTGCCGGACCGCCCAGACCCGAGGGGGGACCTGTCCCCCTTCGCCGAGTTCGGCGCCACGTGCCTGTACTTCGGCGTGGAGCTGGCCGACGCCATGAGCGCACAGGGCCTCGGCAGCACCCCCATCGGGCTCATCCAGTCCTCCGTCGGGGGCACGCAGATCGAGGCGTGGATGAGCAACGAGACCCTGGCGCGCTGCTCGGACGAGGCCCCGTCCGGCGGGGCCGTGCCGCAGAACAGCGGCGCCCTGTACTACGGGATGGTGGCGCCCTTCGTGAACTACTCCGTTCGGGGGTGGGTCTGGTACCAGGGCGAGAACAACGTCTACGGCGACATGGGCAGCTCGTCCACGGGCGCCGGCTACGGCTGCCAGCTTCCCGCCATGGTGAACTCCTGGCGCGCCGTGTGGGACGCGGCGCCGGATGCGCTGTTCGGCATTGTGACCCTCGCCGCCGATACCAGCGAGGGGCGTGGGTGGCACATGGCAGGCATGCGCTGGAGCCAGACTGCGAACTACGGTGTGTGGCCCAACCCTGCGCTACCCTACACGTTCGGAGCTCAGGCCTACGACCTCGAAGAGCCATGGTCCATGGTGGGAGATGGTAACAAGCAGGAGGACGGTGAGCTGTTGTGTTGCTTCGATGGGCCAGACTGCGGCCACAGTCCTCAGCATCCTCCATGCCCCGACAAGCTGAACTGCTCACTGCCAGACATCAGCACGGGCAGGTGCCAGGGGGTGTCTCGTTCCGACCGCCACTTTCTATCCTCTTCCCCTCCTCACCTGGAGGCCACCGGAGGTCCCCAGGGGACTTCTCGAGGTCCCTGGGAGGCCTCGAAGGACCAAAAATGCTAAGGACCTCAATCCCTCTATTCTTCCTCTTATGTTGACCCCCGAAGGGACTATCGTCGGATCGTGGAGCCTCAGGGCGTCACCCAAAGCTCGATGGTGTTGCAGTCGACCTCGGGCCTTGGAGTGCTGAGCCCGAGGACAGATTGGACATTCATGTCTTCTTGTCCCAGGTATGAGTGCGGGCGTGTGTGAGTATCACTGGACGCCGGTTTGTGCTCCATAGTAGGAGCGGGCCTTGAGGATGGGCACTCAGCGCCAGGGCGCCCTGCATCCTTCGGTCTCAAACCCTCTCTCGATGGCTGAGTTTGAGCTTCCTGCGGCCCCCGCCCTTCTTTCCGTTTGTTCGCTAGCTTCCCTCTCGGCCTGCTGCTCCCTGTGCGCTCGCGTCCTCCCCCTCCCCCCCCGCGTGCTGCCCTCGCCCTGCCGCGGCTGTCCCGTGTCGGACGGGAACGCCTTGCCTCCGCATCGCCACCGGCCCTGCCGGACAAGTGCTCGTGTGCCGCCCCTTCCCCAAAAGTGTGTGTGTGTGTGTGTGTGTGTGCGTGTGTGTGCGTGTGTGTGTGTGTGTGTGTGTGTGTGTGTATGTGTGTGCATGTGTGTGTGTGTGTTTGTTCGGGGGCCCCCAAACGGGGTGGTGACCACACCGTGCGGCGAGTCGTTGGGGATTTGAGGTCACCGCACGGTTTTGGGACTCGGGTCGTTCTCCGAGGATGTCTCGGGCGACAGGGGTTTCCGGGGTCCCAAGACCGTGCGGTGACGGACCTTGCGGTGAGGTCTTGGGGGATTTCGAGGTCACCGCACGGTCTGTCACCGCACCGTTTCGGGACTCCAGAGTTTGTGTGTGCGTGTCTGTGTGTCTCTGGCGCACCTAGACGCGCGCGCGGCCGGCTTCCGTACCACGACTTTCTCCGCCCTGTTGCTGCACGCAGGGCCTCGACGCCAAGACAGCATGCGTGTTTGCTTGCGTAGCCTGATGTTGAATCCTCCTCTCTCCCGCCTTTTGTCTCCCCTCCCTCCCCTACCCGACCCCATCTCGATGAAGAACAATAAAAAAGCAACACAAGAAAACAGATTCGAAGGTCCCCGCGGATGTCTGGAATCTGCGCTGGACACCCCCCTTCGGCGGCGCTTCCAGCACCGCCCTGGCGAGCTCCTCGCACCAGGGAGGGGGGCGATCCAAGAGATGCGGGCGAACATCCAGCAGTTTTTTGTTCGTGCCGATCTGTCTTCTTCTACTGATGTTGAATCCTCCTCTCCTCTGCCTCTCGTCTCTCCTGCGCCTCCCCGGTCCGACCCCTGCTCCCCGCCCCCCTCGCCCGCGGAAGGGGCGGGTGGGGGCGGACCTGTGTCCGGTGGGCTGTGGCGAGTGCGCGCCGTCCAAGGTACGGCGACAATTGCTCCGAGTGGGACAGCTCCCTGTGGAGTCCGGCCCTCAAGCCGCTGGAGGGCGCGGTGATGGGGGTAGAAATGCTCGCCAGCCGCTGCAAGCACGCAACATGTCCTGGCAAAGAGGGGGCACAGCCCGTCCATACGAGCCATTTCAGCCCCCCGTGGGGGGACCCCCACGGACCTCTTGCCCAGGCCCCCTGCCCTTCAAGACAGCTACAACCACACCCTCTCCAGATCAGCCCCTCCCCCCCTTGCGTTTATTGTGAGACCCAGGGTAGGTGTCGTTGGAACTCCAGGAGCGCGGCGGCACAAGCACAGGCGTTCAGAGGACCGCGCGGATTTCTTGGGTCGGCGCTGGGTGGCCTTCCCGCCGCCCCCAGGCGGCGCCTCTTGCGCGCTCCGCGCGGGCTGGGGTGTGCATACGGGCAGCCAGTGCCGATCGAAGAGTGTCGCACTGGCCTCCGATGGCTTGTGCTCCTTGCCCCCCCTCTGCACCGCCCCCGTCGGCAGACGGAGGGCGGCGGAGAGGGATGAAGCACGGGTATGCCTCTGTCATCCTTTCGCCTTCCTCATCATTCCCCCCCCTCCTCCTCCTCCTCCTGGAGCCGCCTCCCCCAGCGAGCCTCCCCCCTCCTCCTCCTCCTCCTTGAGCCGCCTCCCCCAGCGAGCCTCCCCTTGAGCCGCCTCCCCCAGCGAGCCTCCTTGAGCCGCCTCCCCCGTCCTCCTTGAGCCCCCTTCCTCATCATTCCTCCCCCCTCCTCCTTGAGCCGCTACATCCCGAGACCCTGCAGCGTTCCCAGCCCCCTTCACCCCTCTCTTGCGGTGCGATCTGATCACGGCGCCGGCTGATGCGCGAGAGGTGTCTCGTGGGGCTGCGCCTCGTGCGGAGAAGAATCCACCAAGCACACTCTCCGCCTCCTCCTCCTCCTCCTCCTCCTCCTCCTCCTCCTCCTCCTCCTCCTCCTCCTCCTCCTCCTCGTCTTCCCCCTCCTCCTCCTCCTCCTCCTCCTCCTCCTCCTCCTCCTCCTCCTCCCTGGGCCCCCCCCTCGCTTTCCGTGCGAGCACACTCAGAGCGGTGCTCAGGGGGCAGCGGTCCCACATTTGCCAGAGACCCGAAAGGGCTGCAGTGCGCAGAGGGTAACGCCCCAGGGGTAATGCTGCCGCCGCAGCCCTCGCCGCATCGTATCACGCCGCCCCCACCCCACCCCCTCGGAGGGGAGGGCAACACATTGGCGGACGAAGGGCGGTGCAGCATGCATCGTTTCGCGATTCGGGGGCTCCTTTCCCAGGGCCTGTGGGAAGTGAAGTACCTCTACAGTGGCAGGTGAGGGTATGCACTTTCCCGCCGCTCTGGGACAGGCGCCCCCGATCACGAAAACATGTGCCTTGTGCCGCTCTCCGCCTGCTGAGGACGGACAGCTCCCCGAGGTGAGGGCCAACAGCCCCAGCGGGATTCCTGGCAACAACTTCATGGGCCCGATCCACCCGCGCGTGAAGCGGCCTGTGGGCCGCAGGCTCGCGCTGGCCGCCGCCCGGCAGCTGGTCGGCGAGGCCGCGGCCAGTGGGCAGTCCCACAGCATACGTTCGCAGTGCCGGGAAGTTCCTTGCCTGCCTCTCGCCTTCCCCTTCGCGGCCACCGAGGCAGGAGGAGATAGTCGATCGTGTCACGCGTATTGCCCTGTTTTCACCTCGGCGCCAGGGGTCGCGCCGCATGCCGCATCGACACGGCGGCATCGCCGGCGCGGGTGTCCAAGGTCGAAGGCCTTCGGCGGCCTGAAGCGGGCGGTCTTGCACGACCACCGCGGTCGGACAGCGGAGATCGCTCAACATTGACCGATCTGTGCGGTGGCAGAGGCCAGCGTCCGCGTCGTCACGGCAGGACTCAGCTGCAGTAGGGCTGCAGTGCTTCATCACGGGTGCCCTTGCATCCTTGCGTCTCTGGCCCTTCTTTGGAGGAATGCCCTAGACCTGCTTGCCCAGTACCGCCGCAAGTATTTCCACGTGGACGTCCAGGCCCCAGGCACCAGCAGCATCGAGAGAACAACGCGCGCCCATATGTCAATGCGACAGATGGGGGGGAGGATGAGGAGGAGGTGGAGGAGGATGGAGGTGGGGCAGGGGGCAGGAGAGGGCGGACACGGACAGGGAGGAGCGACATGAAGGTGTATTGCAAGTGAGAAGGACGAGGACGACGACGAGGACGACGACGAAAAGGACGAGGGTGGAGGAGTGCGGCGAGGAGGTGGCCGAGGATGATGACGGGGAAGAGGAAGGGGAGGGGGGGGGGGAGGAGGGGGGGAGGGAGTGAGGAGCCTGTGTGGCCTGGGAATGGGGGCGGCCGATGTGAGGGAGCGCGCGTGGGGGACCGCCGATGCGGGCCGGACGTGAGACCACGCCCCAGCTGGCGGAGGGGCGGGCGACTAGGGGGATCGCGGCAGAGTCCTCGAGGTCATTCGCCCGGCTGCTCTGGGGGGGGCGGCGCTTGTGGCGCTTGGGCCTGCCGCCCCCCCCCCCAAGGCTGGCAGCGGCGCCTGGACCGGCCCCACGATCTCCGGGTGCCGCCTCGATGGCGGCAGGCTGGAGCTCTTCTTCAATTCCTCCCTGCTGGGCGGGGAGGGCCTGATGCTCCGGCCCTTCAACGCCAACCTCAGCAGCTGGAGCGAGCCTGGGCGCAACCTTGGGTGGACGGCGGCGCGCGACAGCCTCGGCACCATGGTCTGCGTCGCCAACGCGTCCGCGCCGGAGCTTGGCAACGCGACCACCTGCATGTGCCAGGGCTGGAACTACGTCATCCAGGAGTTGGCTGTGCGCACAGGGGGGGGGGGCGCGAGGGGGGCAGCCTTCTGAGAAGGCAGGGGGGATCTTCTTCGAGGGCAGGGGCCCTCTCTTAGGAGGCCTCCCAGTTCCAAAGACGCCCTCCCAGGAGCCCCTGGGCGTCTCCCTGCGATGTCCCCCGCCTGAGCAGCCCCCCCGTGCCTGCCCTCTCATCGCGCCGACCCCTCGGTGCGCGCCGGCGGAGGAGGACGGCACGGCGCGCAGGACGTTCTGGTACTGCGAGGACGGGCCGGGGTACAGGCCGCCGGCACCCGTGCTGGCCGCGGAGGCGGCGCGGCGGAGGCTGGCCGAGAAGGTCAAGCAGTGGCGAAGCGTCCCCGCTCGCCTATAGCTTTACCAAACAATGTTCTAAGAACCTTTTTGTGGTTTCCACGAAATCTTCTTAGAACATTTCTGGTTGATATTGTCTTGCTTTAACACATCGGGTTCATGTTCTAAGAACTTTGTTTGGGTTCTCAGAGCATTTTTGGGTTCTAAGAACGCTTCGTGGCAGGACTATAGGAATGCCGGGACGGTCGGTCCCTGCTCAAGAAGGGGCTGGTCGGCGTTGGCGATGCGCCGCCCCCGCCGACCAGCGTGAACCCCTGGCGGGAGCAGTGGCGGCCCGCCGCGCTGCGGGCCGCGTCCGCGTCCTCCGTGGTCGTGGACACATCGGGGCTCGGGGGTCTTCGGGGGGAGGGAGAGCTTGGCATCGCTCGGGCGTGTGCGTTTTTTTCCTCGAGGCGCGTCCGAGATCATCTGGGAAAAACAGCACGCACGAGACCAAAACATGCACGGGGAGTGGACGTCCGAGCGATGGAAAGAAGAGGTTCCAGGCCTCCCAGATGGTGGGGTCTGAGTAGATGTGGTCGGTGGATCGCGCCGCATTGCCGATGCATCGGCGATGCGACTCGATGTGGAACCCGATGTTCTCCACGCCGACGGCGCTGATGCATCGCCAACGTCCCTAGTGCATCGCTGATGCATTGGCGATGCGGTGCGATCCTCCGACCCCATCTGCTCGGACCCCATCTGGGCGGCTTCTAAATGTACAATCAGAACTGATAGTAAGGACGCGCGATGAGGATGCAAGGGCCTTGGAATGCCCTGCCAGCACTTTTCGAGCGGGGCGCGGCCAACGAAAGAGGCCAAGGATGCAAGGATACAAGGGAAACCTTGGAGAGGCGCTCATCCTTGCTATCATTGTCTGCTGTACCGATCCGCTGCTCGTCCTGGAGGCGCACCAGAATGGCTTCGCCTGCGAGGATCGCAGGAGTTATCATCTCTCCCCCGGTGGAAGGCGGCGGAGGGCCATCGGACGTAAGACGGCGGCGGTTCCGCGGGCGGAAGCCAGCGCAAGGCCGCCTGAAGGCGGCGGCAGTACAGGATGCACCCCAGAGAGGTGGCAACATTTCTACAACCCGCCAGCTCTTGTCGCCACTGTTGTTGGATTCTCTTTGGAACTCTTACAGCGCACCCCAGGGGAGGTGCGCGCGCAGAAGCAGTATCGCTGCCTCTTTGTTACCCCCCCCAGGTCTGCAGCCGTTGGCCGTCCGTCTGGCCTGGCCCCTCTTCGACCAGCCGCACGAGAGGGGTGACACGTGCTGCCCGGGGAGCGACGTGCAGTCCGGCAGGGCGCCCTGCGTGCCTGGCAACTGCCCGCTCTACAGCTCGGGGACCGAGCTGCCCGCCAACCCGTTCTTCGCGAGCATCGTGGGCGGCAGGTGCAGGTGCAGCCTGCCCCAGGTCTGCGCGGACGCCGCCAGCCTCAGGGTGGACGCGGGATCGTGCTCCTCCTCCTCCTCGCCCCTGCCGCTCCTCCACCGTGGGGCGTGGACGTTCTTGGGCGCCTCCTTGACGGCCGCCGTCGGTCATTGCTTCCGATTGTTGTTGGTGGTGTTGTTGCTGTTGCTGTTGTTGCTGTTGCTATTGCTGTTGTTGTTGCTGCTGCTGTTGCTGTTGTTGTTGTTGGTGGTGGTGTTGGTTGTTGGTTGTTAGTTGATATGTTTTTTGTAGTTTTTAGTAGGTAGTCAATCAGCGAATTATTTGTTTTTGTTGTTCGTTTTTTGTCCCAGCCATCCTGTGGTGTTGGGCCCTCGGAGACAGCGCCCCGCATCCCTCACCTCCCGCCCTCCTCCCCCTCCCTTCTCCCTCCTCCCCCTCCTTGTCTCTGCCCTCATCAGTTTGCGTCGCCCCCACCCACTACAGCGTTTCGCATAGGAAGCTCCACCGAAGGCCCCAGTGGCGGAATTTGCATGCGGTTCCCCCACCCACTACAGTGTTTCGTGGCCCCATCGGGTGCTCCACCGAAGGCCCAGTGGCTGCACTCGCATGCGGGACCTCCGCCCAGTACAGCGTTTCGTGGCCTCATGGGGAGCTCCACCGAAGGCCTCAGTGGCTGCACTCGCATGCGTCTCCCCAACGCAGTACAGCGGTTCGTGCCCCCATAGAGAGCTCCTCCGAAGGCCCCAGTGGCTGCTCTCGCATGCGTCTCCCCCGCCCAGTCCAGCGCTACCTAGCCCCATAGGGAGCCTCACCGAAAGCCCCAGTGGCTGCACTCGCATGCGTCTCCCCCAATCACTACAGCGATTTGTGGCTCCCATAGCGAGCTCCACCGAAGGCCCCAGTGGCTACACTCGCATGCGTCTCCCCCGCCCAGTACAACGTTTCGCGGCCCCATAGGGAGCTCCACCGAAGGTTCCAGTGGCTGCACTCGCATGCGTCTCCCCCACCCAAGCACAGCGCTTCCTGGCCCCATAGGGAGCTCCACCGAAGGTCCAGTGGCTGCACTCGCATGCGTTTCCCCCCGCCCAGTACAGCGTTCCGTGGTCCCATGGGGAGCTCCACCGAAGGCCCTAGTGGCTACACTCGTATGCGTCTCCCCCACCCACTACAGCGTTTCGTTGCCCCATCGGGTGCTCCACCGAAGGCCCAAGTGACTGCAGTCGCATGCGGTTCCCTCACCCAGTACAGCGTTTCGTGCCCCCACATGGAGCTCCACCGAAGACCCAAGTGGCTGCACTCGCATGCGGGACCCCCACCCGGTACAGCGTTCCGTGGTCCCATGGGGAGCTCCACCAAAAGCCCCAGTGGCTGCATTCGCATGCGTCGCCCCCACCCACTACAGCGTTTCGTGGCTACCATAGGGAGCTCCACCGAAGGCCCCAGTGGCTGCACTTGCATGCGTTCCCCCCACCGATTACAGCGCTTCGTGCCCCCATAGGGAGCTCCACCGAAGGCCGCAGAGGCGGTGTTCGCATGCGTCCCCCCCCGTCCAGTACAGCGTTCCGTGGTCCCATGGGGAGCTCCACCGAAGGCCCCAGTGGCGGAATTTGCATGCGGTTCCTCAGTGGCGGCCCCGCCCCACTTCGGCACCCCTCGCGCGCATCGCGGTCCCCTAGTGGGTTCCACCTAAAGCCCTAGTGGCAGCGCCCACACGGCGGCCCCGCCCCATATCGGCAGAACCTTAGTATGCTTCATGATCGCATGAGGAGATGCCCCGACGGCGATACCCGCAACGACGGTACTCACCACTGCAGATTGTTTGGTCTTTCGCCACGATGGTTACTTTGTTTCGAGGGCGTTTCTGCGCCTGGGGGGTCTGCAGCGGGTCACTCGGTATGCCACTCGCGCACGGGCGTGTCAGACTGGTGTGCCGACTTGGAGGTGAGCTCCGCCTGCGGACAGCGTAACGTTCAGGAGGTGGTCGGTCGTATGGTCGTTCCATACTGCTTTTCAGGGCGTGCTTGCAAATACGTTTGATTGTTCTGCGAGGGGGAGAGTTTCCCAACCACCCTGTGGATGTGGGTCCTCGCTTTGAAGAGACAGCGCCCCGCGCCTCCTTCCTCTCCTCCCCCTCCTCCCCCTCCTCCCTCCTCCGCCTCTGTGCCTCTGCCCTCCGCATGTTTCTGTTTCGGCACACCCCTCACACGTTTTGTGGCCCTATAGGGAGCTCCACCGAAGGCCCCAGTGGCAGGGTTCGCATGGCGGCCCCGTCCCATGTCTCATACCTTTCACACGTTCCGTGGCCCCACAGGGAGCCCCACCGAAGGCCCCGGTGGCAGGGTTCGCCTGGCGGCCCCGCCTCCATTTCGACACACCCCTCACACGTCTTGTGGTCCCATAGGGAGCTCCACCGAAGGCCCCAGTGGCAGGGTTCTCATGGCGGCCCCGCCTCATTTCGGCACACACACACACACACCGCACGTTCCGTGGTCCCCTAGGGAGCTTCACTGCAGGCCTCAGCGGCCAGGGGTATGCATAGCGGCGTCGCCTCCATTTCGGCACACCCCTCACCCGCCTCTCGGCCCTGTATACAGCTCCCCCGAAGGCCCCAGTGGCAGGGTTCGTATGCCTTCCTCTGCCTATTGTGACACACCGCTCGCATGTTTCGGGGTCCATAGGGAGCTCCGCCGAAGGCCCCAGTGGCAGCGCCCGCGTGCGTCCCCCAGCCCACCTCGGCACACCCCGCACGCGTTTCCAGGTTCCCATCCGCGTTGCCCTGTGCTCCGTCCCTCTCGCGGCGCGCTGCCTATGATGAGAGGGTCGTATGCTACGTTGCACGCAGCTGCACATGGCTGGGTCCTTCGCCCGGCAGATCGGCGGGTCGCTCGGCATGCCACTTGCCCACGGGCGTGGCAGGCCTGCTGGGCCGATAGTGCAGGCGAGCCCGCCTGCAGACGGCATTGCCTCTCCTGACCAAAACCGTTTCCCTGTCTGACCGGCCACGAAAAACACGCGGCAGGGAGAGGCAGCAGCAGGTTGCAGGAGGAGGGGGAGCCCTCCCCCCCTCCCCCCTCGACTTCTGCCAGAGAGTTGGCCCTGGCCGGAAATGTCCCTCCCCCCGGATGTCCACGGAGGCCCCCGGGCACCCCTCCACGAGGCCCAGGGGGCTCCATGGTCTCCTGGATGGCAGGGCGTTGCGGCCGCATTTCTTGCGGGCCTGCGCTGGCGGGGCGTCGTCCCAGGTTGTTCTCACGAAGTCGGGGGTGTTGTTTGCCAGCCCCAAACAACCAACAGGTGGGCGCGGAGGTGGCGGTAGTTGTCTGAACTCCAGCAGCCACGGTGCAGATGCTGGAGCTGACGACCGCGATGTAGTTCCTGTGTTCAAGCAGTGGCGAAGCGTCCTGGCTTGCCTATATGCCCACCAAAGAATGTTCTAAGAACCTGTTGTGTTCTGCACGAGATGTTCTTCAATCATTACTGACTGAGACTGTCTTGGTTTTATACGCCGGGTTGATCTTATAAGAACATTTTTGTTCGTCGAACATTCTTGCGTTCTAAGAACATGTCGTGGAAAGCCTATAGGAATGCCGGGACGGTCGGTCTCTGCTCACTGTGTGAGTGTTCGCATCGGTGTATATAGTGCAGATGGGAGCTGGTAGTTACAGTGCAGCTGATGGTGCGAGTTAAGGAGACCTGAAGGCAGGAGCTTACAACACCAGCTCATCTTCTCCGCCCCTCTTGGCAGATTTGAAGACCAGCGAGCGTCACCCGAGCGCCTGGATTTTAGTTTCGTTCTGCCTGCTCTTCTCTGGTGCAGCGGAGTCGCGAGCGCGCAGAAACACGTGTTTTCTTGAGCCGATCCTTTCCTCCTTTTCCTGTCCTCTTTCGTCTCCTCCAACTCCTCGTCCTCTGTCTCCTCCAGCTCCAGTGTCGCCCTCCAGCTCCTCCAGCTCCGCCATCTCCGCCCTCCCAACCCTAACTATTAAGAGCCTATGAGTGTTTATATCACGAAGCTCTCCAGGCTCGCCGCCCGCGCTTTCCCATGTAGCCCCCACAGCTTCCTTCGCAGCAAGTCTGGCTTTCTGCACATGCGGGCAAAATCCCCGGCAAAACATACGTGGCGCACGTAGGCTCTTCCATTTCAGGCAATAGAATCCCGTGCACGCCTGCGCGCGTTCATGTCCCAGGCGCTCCCCAGGCCCTCCCAAGCGTTACCGAGCGTCCCCAGGCGCTCCCTGGCGCTCACCAGGCGCTCCCAGGTGCTGCCAAGCGCCTCCAAGCGCTCTCCCAGACGATCCCCAGGCATCCGCAGGCTCTTTCAGGCGCTTCCCAGGCGCTCCCAGGCGCTCCCGAGCTCTTGGGGCAGGTCCGCCAGACTCTCACGCGCTCCCAGGTGCGCCTCAGGCGCTCCCGAGCGCCTCTCGGCGCCTCGAGGCTTCCCCAGGCGCTCCCGCGTCGAGGATCTCGATACATTACACCGCGCAGCGAGCTTCTGCGCTAGTCACAGGGCACTTCCGCGCATCAGCGACGATGCCATTCGCGAAAGGTGCGAGCGCGACCGCGACAACCTGCGGGTTCATAGCCGCGCCCGTGCCTTCCCCAGGGGCCGTCACGTGGAGGCTGGACATGGAACCTGGGTTTCCGCGCGTCCTCGTCCTCCTCGTCGTCCTCCTCCTCCTCCTCCTCCTCCTCCTCCTCCTCCTCCTCCTCCCCTCTCCTCCTCCGCGGCGCAATCAAGCGCGCGGAGTCGGCGCCAAGGCGTCGGCCATCTGCCGTGGAGACCAACCCACTGGTCGCCCGGGCCCTGTTCCGCATCGCCACGGCATCGGCCATCGAAGCGCTGCGTATACACGCTGCGCACGTCGCCTCGCGCTGAGTCATCGTCGTCGACGCGTTGAGTTCTGTATGTCATGTGTCTTGGGTTGGTGGGACACGTCCAACAGGCTTCGAATGGGGCTAGTGGACCTCCAACCCTGAGCCCCAAACCCTTCCTTTCCCCCTCCGCCTCCCTCACCCTCCGGCTCCTGCGGCTCCTCGTCCTTGCCGTGTGCTCTTCTTTCTCATCTTGGTCTTGTCCGCCCGCGTTAGCTCGCTTTGTCTTGGTGAGGTGCCTGGCATCCTCGTCGTCCTCTTTTTTCTTCCTGGCGCGACGCGGGCAGGCCCGAGCGAGATGTGCTGGCATCAGAGCGCGAGCACTCGCCAGTCGTTGACAGTAGGCACTCTTGGGGTCCTTGGCACACATCTACTTCAAGCGCCTTCCTGCTTCCAGACTTAATGTACTTTGTCCGCCTTCCTACTTCCTGTCTCCACCGACTTCTTCCGACTGGCGGGTAGGGGGTAGGCCCGTGCAGTGTCGGCGTGGCAGCGACCCCGCCAGTGGCCTTGCATCGGCCAGTACTCAAGAGGCCGGGAGCCGCCAGCGCGCGGGCCGTCACGACGCGAGTCCGCCGTACGGAAGCACGGGGAGGGGCTCGCGTCTCGCTCGCTCTCTACCGGTCGCGAAAGTTGCGCTTTCGCGTGAGGCCTCCTTCAAGACAAAATCTGGTTCCATCTCAGAGGGCCTGGCATTTGCAAAGGAATGTCGAACCGGCGCTGACCCCCTTCTAACTAGTGCCCTGGTCCCTCGCAAAGTGCGGATCCATACTTTTCAATCCAGGGGGTTCTACAATCGCGTCGTCAAACGCTGCCGAAGAGCTTTCCAATCCCATTTCATGCTTCGTGGGCCTATGTGGCGTCCTGGCGAAGTGGGAACAGCCTCACAAGTCAAGGGCACGCTGCCACTGCAGACCCAGCGTGGCGGGAGTTTCGGGCGGTCGGATCCTCGGCTTGCCTGTGATGCCTTGTGCAGCCAGAAGCTTCCTTCGAGCAGCAACGTCAAGCTCCCCTCCGTTTTTTGCAGGAGTGCGCGCATGCCACCTCTGCGCAAGGATTCCTTTCAGAAATTTCTCGTTGCGAAGAGCGAGCCCCGTTGCCTCTTACAAGGCCCAGCCCTTCCCTTCACTCGTTCCAGGCCCTTTCTCTTCGCCTCCCTCGTCGGGTCCTCGGCTTCCGTGCTTCAACGGCAAAGACCAGCCCCGTCCTCACATCTTTGGTGGGCCCGTCGTCCAGAGCCTCTTTCACCAGGTGGTGCCCGCCGCATGTGCGCTGCCGGGCGCGCGCGTTGCGGACCTGGCTGGCGCAAACGGAGCTCCGCAGGTCGACGCGCGTGCGAGTCGGGCCCGCTCCTGGCGTGCTTCGGAAGCTGTGCGCGCCGCCGTCCCGGCTCTTGCCGCTTGCAGCTGCCTGCCTTGAGGAGGCCTTCTCGCGGTTACTTTGAAAATGTTGCAGAAGCGACGAGCTCCGTACGGATGCCCACCACGCCAATGGAGCACGTCTTCCTTTTTTCTAGGACTGTCACGGACAAGTCGTCACCTACTCCATCTCTTTATGTCCAACACGCGGCTCTTCCCTCAAGCGACCACGTAAATGCTTGCGTATCTGAGCATTGAATCACATGGACGCGTCACCATGAAGACTTGATGCGTAGGTTGTGCGTGCAGACTTCCAAAGAGAGCGTCGAGACTATGCGCACAATAGCAGGAACTTGAACTGGATCCGTCTTGTACGTACCTTTCCCAATCAACTGCTGTGCCTTCTTCAGCAGCAAGGGAATTCAATCTAGCTATTGTCACGGTCTGGTCGGAGCTACAACCCTCTTCAGCAGACAAGTGAGCAGGGACGACCGGTCCGCCAATTGTACCACTTGTGCTCATCCCGACCGCCTGCATAACCCTCGGATGAATTCAAGCAAACAGGCAGGACACTGCAGCAGCCCAGCCTCGAGCCATCCAGCCCAAGCACAGAACCAACTTACACGCTGCGCGCGATATAGCAGAATATGAGACGTACCAGTTCTTTTAGCATGCTTACGGGCCACTGGTGCACAGTCTGATGGACCAGACAACGCCTGGCAATACTCAACGCCTGGTCAATGCTGAGCACGAAAACGGTCCTTTTGAGAGATTGTCCGATCAGCTGTCCAGCGTGGCATTGAGACAGGACGCAGTATCTCCGCCCTCGAGCAGCTCGCGGCCGCTCACGAGCATCACGACACTACGCATGGTACTTCCCATCACGATCCACCCCGCGATTTTTTTTTATTACGTGCGTCAAGCACACGACAAGACCCGCTCGCTCAAGCTTGCAACCTGGTTTCTCTCCTGGGCTCGAGACATGACTTTACAGGTGGGCATCGCGTCTTAAGTGAGCTACGTCGGTGATTCACAGTTGTCAGCAAGAGCGGCAGCCAGGGGAAGCTTTTGTATGTCCATGGAACGCCATCGATGTAGCAGTCTGGTCGGTCAGTTTATTCCGACGCACCACGCTGCCTTGTAGTACCCATCGGAACAGTTGTATGCCAAGATTTCCCCAGGCTATGTTGGATCCTGGACATATTCAGTCAATAAGCAATCATGTATACACAAGTGCCTGCATGACCATTTCACAGGCTCCTCACTTGGATGGCCAGGGCGTTGATAAACATGGGCCTGCTTGCCAAGAGGTGCGGACATGGGTTTCGAGCGCGGTGGTCAATCCGAGAAGCAAAGCGGCACCGCCTCATCCATCCAGATGAATATTCCAATGCATTTTTGGAGGTGGTTCGAATTTCGACCACTCAAGTAGGTGCCATGGGGTTTCGTTGTCGCGAATCCATGACAGTCGACCCGCTGCCCAAATTTGTGCCGTCGTCCAATCATCACATTGTTTCATGTCCATGTGTTCGAACCTTGCTTGGCGTTCACCATATGTTGCCAAGCCTCGCGTTTTCCAAGTACCACCTTGAGACTGGCGCATACGTGCACGCGAGCTGGCTCACGCCCAAATGCTGCGCATACTCTCGAGAGTGAAGCGATTAGATGTTTGAGATGCATCTGTAGGGGTAAGTCTATACATTGCTGCCGTATCACCAGCGGCGGAACACAGCACGCGCGAAACACAGAGTCAAATGTTGTTCTTCCAGTCCGGGGAAAGATTCCGTGAGCGACGATTTGGATGCATTCCAGCTCGCGCGGTACACCCTGCTCTGCAATCTGCCACAAGCGCGGCGTTCGAGGGCGGTCCGCGACGAGGGAAGCCCAGACCTCCCTCGCGCCGTGGAGACGTCACGGCGCAGGGGGCTTCTGGCAGCCTTGGCCGCGGGAGGCTCCTCGCCAGGGCCCCCCCCTTGGCGGCGACACAACCTGTCCGTGTCCGCGGCCTCGCGGGCCAGGCGGGGCCCCTCGGGCCGCAACCCGGCGGACGCGGGGCGCTTCTCTCGTCCGCGGACGCCCCGCGCGGATACGCAGCCGTGCGGCCGCGCATCCGCGGGATCGCGCCCCGGAGGCCTCGACCACGAGAGGGCCGCCGCCCCAGGCCGCACGATGAAGACGCGGCCTCGCTGAGGTCCCCGTCTGCGCCCTATGGGGATCAAAGTTCTGGGCGCTTTGGTCCGACGCGTCCACAGAAGAAGACGCCCCCACTCCCCAGTGTCGTTGGCCCTCCTGACTCGGGTCCCCTCCCAAAGGGTTAGGGGTCCTCTTTTGTTGCTCCGTCGTGGGATCCACCCCGCGAGGGCACGGATACGGACACGTGCACCGCGCGCGGCCCCCGGGTGCAGCCGAACGGGTCGGGGCGACACGAGCGGATCTCTCTCGGGAGGGGCCCAGACCGCCGAGGGCCCGCGCCGTGACGCCATCGAGACCTCGGGGGACTCGGGGGCGGGTCCCTGGAGGAACGGGGCCCCGGCGGACGTTTCCCCCGTGCTCGGGCCCCCGGGGGCCCTCCACGGGCGCCGGGGCGGCCAGGATCCGACCCAGGACGAAGGAGAGGAGGGAGGAGGAGGGAGGGGGAGGAGGAGGAGAAATGGAGAAGCAGGGGGAGGGGAGGAGGAGGAGGAGGAGGAGGAGGAGGAGGGGAGGAGGAGGAGGAGGAGGAGGAGGAGGAGGAGGAGGAGGAGGAGGAGGAGGAGGAGGAGGAGGAGGAGGAGGAGGAGGAGGAGGAGGAGGGGAGGAGGAGGAGGAGAGGAGGAGGAAGGAGGAGGAGGAGGAGGAGGAGGAGGAGGAGGAGGAGGAGGAGGAGGAGGAGGAGGAGGAGGAGGAGGCGGAGGAGGAGGAGGAGGATGAGGAGGAGGAGGGGAGGAGGAGGAGGAGGAGGAGGGAGGAGGAGGAGGAGGAGGACGGAGGGGGATGAGGAGGAGGAGGAGGAGGAAGAGGAGGAAGAAGAGGAGGAGGAGGAGGAGGGGAGGGGGGAGGAGGAGGAGGGAGGAGGAGGAGGAGGAGGAGGAGAGGAGGAGGAGGAGGAGGAGCAGGAGGAAGCAGGCCCCCAGCGTCTGGGGCCCGTTCCCCGCATCGGGCCCTCGTTTCCTTCTTGCGGCGACGGAGGGGTCAGCGACCCAGCGATCCGACGCCTTGTGTAAGTGCGTGTGTTTCAATGCGGGGGGGGGGCCCTGGAAATCCGCACCCCTTCCCCGAGTCCCCGAGGGCAGCTTCTCATCTGGAGTTGGTTTCTGTCGGTCAGGGCACCGCGAGGACCCGCAGAGGCCAAAAACTACAAAGGGATTCCGCCTTGGCTTTTCAATCTGTTGGAGGTTTGGGTTTCCTTCTCTCGGTGTCGAGCCTGGGGGGAAGTGACAAGGCGCGGGCCTTCGTGGAAGGCTCGGAAGTCCCCCGGGCCTTCGGAGAAGCTCTCCGAGCCCTTCCCGGAGACGCAGAGCAAACTTCGCAGCAGGCGCCAGGGCCTCCCGAGGGGTCCCGCCGCCTCCTGGGGGGGCCTCCTCCTCCTCCTCCTCCTCCTCCTCCTCCTCCTCCTCCTCCTCCTCCTCCTCCTCACCCCCCCGCTCGCCGCTCGCCGCTCCACCTCCACCTCCTCCTCCACCTCCTCCTCCTCCTCCTCCTCCTCCTCCTCCTCCTCCTCCTCCTCCTCCTCGCCGCCGCTCGCCGCCGCTCTCCGCGGCGCCGGAGCGGAGGGGGGGAAGGCGGGGCCTCGGCGCCCCGTGCCGGAGGCGCGCAGGCACCTGCTGCAGTCCCTGCCGGCCTGCACGGTGGGCGAGTGGTCGCTGCAGCTCCCGGGCAAGGCGCCGTGCGCTCCCTTGAACGAAGGTCACCGCCCACCAAACCACCCCAACCCAACCCGAAGGCCTCAATTTGCCCTCCATTTCCAGTTGGGGGGGTCCGGGAACATCGAGAAAACACATATGGAACCCGTACCCCCCCCAACCCGAAATTCGTGTCTTCGGGTTGGGTTGGGGAGGTCTGGTAGGTAGTCAGAAGGATTGCAAAAAAAAACCCTGGATTGCAAAAAAAAAAACCGACGGATTGCAAAAAAACCGAAGGGTTTTAGTTGCAATCCTTTTTGTTGCCATCGTAGGTTTTTTTTGCAATCCTTGGTTTTTGTTGCAATCCCCCGTGCTGCCAGGAGCTGTGGGCCCTGCCCGTAAGTCGGGCGTGCCCCCCGACAGGAGGAGGATGCCCAGACAGTCAAAGGACAGTGTGGGGACGATGGTTCGATGGTTTGCCGACCATGCTTGAACAGATGTTTGGCGTATTCGGACGCACCCCTCTCGAGGATGGACGCCCCCCCCCATCGTTTATCCCAGGGTTGGGCCCCAAATTCCCGGTCCACTCGAAAACCCCACGAAGCCTGGGACAAGGGTAGTTCTCATGTTATGGATGGGTCTATGCCGATGCCGCTGCGCGTCCCTCCTCGTCGATCCACGGCCGGCTTCGCCTCGGAGTCCTGGGCAGGAAGGCGCCCTGTGACGTCGGCCCCTGCAGAGGCCTCGGCCCGTTTCCCGGCACGGGCTTTCCACCCTGAGTCGTTGCTTTACGGCCCCGAGGCCCGTGGCAAAAGGCCTCCAGAGGCCGAAGACCGCGAAGAACTTGCCGCCGTGCTTTTTTTCACGACCCGGAGGGGGTTGGGATGGGCGGCGTCGGTCTTGCCCCCCCAGCTCAGCATCGTTTAATTCACCGGCCCTTGTCCCCATCCCCATCCCCATCCCCATCCAAACCATCACCATCTCAGCACCCCTGTTGGGATATACCCGTCGAAGCCCGAAGGAAACAGTCCGTTTGATGGGTATGAGCCGTTCGAGCGGATCGGATTCGATGTGACACGGATGGCGCGGACGAGTCGTCTGAACGGCGCAGCGTCCTAGCCCCCCCCTGGGGGGAGGTCTCCGCGGGGAGGTCCCGAGGAGGCCCAACCGACGGGGGAGGCCCCCGCGGGGAGGTCCCGCGGAGGCTCCCCGGGCCCGGGGGCGCTCCCGCGGGGAGGTCCCCGCGGGAGAGCCCAACGGAGGGCGCTAGAGTCTACAGTCCACACCCCCGAGCTCCACGAGAGGGTCTGGCCCCGACCCTTCCGGAGGAGGAGGAGGAGGAGGAGGAGGAGGAGGAGGAGGAGGAGGAGGAGGAGGAGGAGGACACGCGTTGCGGGTGGGTCACGCTCTTGCTGGGCCACGAAGGTCCGTTCGGAGACGGCCTCCCCTCGGCGGCCCCCTCTCCGTGGGCCAGCTGGGGCCGAGCGGCCCCCTCTCCCCCAGGGGCTCCCTCGTCCGAGAGAGTGTTGTGTGGCCCTCTGGGGGCCGAGCGGCCCCAGGGGCTCCCTCGTCTAAGAGAGTGTTTTGTTACCCTCTGGGCCATAAGCGCGCGGTATGCCCCTTAGCCCCCCCCCCCCCATCTCTAAAGCAACGCTCCCCCCCTTCAGTGCGTCGTCCCCTGCACTGCCGCAGCGCATCCGGCACCACAGTCTGGGGAGGGGGGAGGGCGCTACGTCACGCCGTCAGGCCCCATCCCCAGACCGCCGACGTCATGATCTTTTTCTTGACGTCCACCCCCAGAGGTCTCGACCTATTCCCGGGACCCGTTTTTCATCCTGAGTTGTTTTTTTGACGGTCCCGAGGCCCGGTAAGAGCCCCTGGAGGCCGAAAATGGCGAAAACCTTCCGTCGTGTTTCTTTCATTGCTCGAGGGGGTCTGGGTCCCGTCCCACCCCCCTTCCGCCCATAACGCCTTTTATGGCCGCGAAAAAAACATTCGCTCTGAGCCCGTGGGGCGTCTGTTCGCGCTCGGCTCGGCCGCCGAGTGCGGCAGCCGAGCGGACTCTCTCTTCCAGCAATGTTAAGGCGGAGGGGGTTTTCGGCCCACTCGGCCGCCGGGCGGGCTCGATCCTGGACCCGTTCGGCGGCCAACAGGCACACGTCGAAGAAGAAAAAACACTATGAGCTTACTCTTTTGGCGCTCCGCGCGGATTTCTCGGATCCGCGCTGGGGCCAGCCGGCGGCGCCTCCAGCGCTGTCCCTAGCGCGCTGCGCGCGCCAGGAAGGGGGTCCAGCGCAGATCCAAGAAATCCACGATTCTCCGAACTCATTTGACTAGAACACAACAACCTCGATCATCCTCGATCGTCCTTACAGTGCGCCTTCCCCGCCTCAGGCGCTGCATTTTGTTCTGTGACGTGCGTCCACGGGGGATCTCGACCACTTCGCCAGCGATCTCGACCACATCATCTGGAGTTGTTGTTTGATGGCCCCGGCCTTCGCAGGCAGCGATCTCGTGTTTTGCGCCGCCGCGGATCTGAGGGCCCCTCGCTGTGCTCTTCAACATGCAGTCAAGACGCTGACCAAAGACCGCTTTCGGCTCAGGAGCGGCTCCGGTGTTCGGCCCGTCCCTCAGATCTGGGTCGGGAAGCCTCCTCGTGGCCGCCGCTCGCCGTGGCGAGCACCGCGCCTTCCTTCGTTACTCCGTCCGCGTCCCTTCGTTGTGGTAGCACGACGACTGTCTGCGCCCTTTCGGCCGCGGGCGCCTGGGAGCCGGCCGGCCATGTGCGTCCTCGACGCGCATGCATTGCGTCAACCTGGGCCTCCCCCTATGGGGCCTCCTCCTTCTCCTTCTCCTCTTCCGCCTCCTCCTCCCTCCTCCTCCTCCTCCTCCTCCTCCTCCTCCTCCTCCCCTCCTCTCCTCCTCCTCCTCTCTCCTCCTCAAATCCTCCTCCTCAAATCCTCCTCCTCCTCCTCCTCCTCCTCCTCGTCCTCCACCTCCCCCTCCTCCCTCTACGCTGGGCTCCTCCTCCTCCTCCTCCTCCTCTTTCGCAAACGACAGGGTGGGTGGGTGGGAGGCATCGCCCTCGAGGCGGCGGCACCTCGCCGACCGCGGATATCCGCATGCCCCTGGGGGGTAGTGGGCTGCTGCCAGGCCTCACGCCCGCCAAGGTATGGCTCCTGGGCCTCGGGGGAGGGTGGCGGTGCATACGTTACCATCGAGAGCCAGCGACTTCATACACCGCCACCCTCCTTGAAGGTACATGCACAATTCGTCGGAGGGTGTCTGTGTATATATCTTCGTGACGTGCGATCCATTGGGAACTATGGGGGTGGATGCATCCCCCTCCGGAGCCTATCCTCGGCTACGCGCAGGAGGAGGGGAGGGGGAGGGCGGAATGCTTCTTAGAGGCACCCCCGCTCCGAGGTCGAGGAGAAGCGCCCGCGCTGAGCCGATCGCATCGTCGGTCGGGCGGGTTACCAAGATCAGGCGATCGCAAACATGGGTTCAGGGGGCGTGGATTAGCGACGGGTCCCGTTCCCATGGGACATCGCGGGCTTCCGCCGCCGAACGAGGCGGCACCGGCCGCATTTTGGGGAGGGCACCTCCCCCGATCCATGCTTGCGCGCGCCCCGGACACTGGGGGGGGGGTGGCCTGCACGGGTGGTGAAGAAAAGGGCCCTCAAGGGGCCCTTTAGGGCCGCTCTTGGAGCCAGCCGGGGCCCCGAAAGGGGGCCTCGGGGGCCGCTTCGGGGTCCTTTGTTCTTCACCCTCCCCCTTTGTGGGGGTCACCCTTCGGGGTCCTTTGTTCTTCACCCTCCCCCCTTTGTGGGGGTCACCCTCCCTTGCCCCCCGCCCGAGTCGGAGATCTGGGAAGTGGCTCCTGCTGTCCACGCGCAGGGGAGGGTATGGGGGAGGGGGGAGGGGGGGCTTCTTAGAAGGAGCCAGCTCCTCAGAGGGCGAGGGCCTCGTCCACAGATGTAAGGCCAGCGCCTTCTAAGAAGCAGCCTCCTTCAGGAAGCCCCCCCCCCCTCCCCCATGCCCCCCCTCTGCGCGCCGGCGATCCTGAGGTGGGCGGGGAGGGGTGCAGCCCCGGGAGAGAGAGCCGGGGACCTACAGAAGGGGGGGGGAGGGCAGTGGGGCCCGCGCGGCTGCGGCCAGCAGGTGGTGGACGGCCTCGACGAGGACCGCTTTGGGAGGGGGCTCCTCCGTGGGGGAGGGGCTCGATGGCAGCATGGATTTACCCCGAACTCGATTTTCCCGTCGAGCCCATGAGAACACTGCGCAGACTCGGAAGTAGGCCTACGGAGCACTGTGGGCGTGCTTCGCAGACTCGACGGGGAATATTGGGGTAAGTCGGCTCTGTAGTCGATCTCCTGCTCGATCCATGTGGGAGGGGCTCGAGCATCGAGGTGCCCTCGAGGACTGTCAGACCCGGGCGGTTTGCCAACATACACATCGCGGCGGCCGGTTTGCCGCGTCGTGCCCCGCGCCTCCAGTAGGCCCTGCCCCGGCCCCCGGGGACCGTGGAGAGAGCTGTTCAGGATGAACAGCCGGCCCTGGCTCGGGGGCGGTCAAGAGGGGGGTGATGACTAGGGTTAAGTCGGGCCTGTCCCTCTACAGGGGGAATGTTCAAAAACAGTCCAAAAGTAGTCTGGGGACTATTTTTGAGTATCTTTGGGCATATTTTGATTTTTTGGGGGTATTTTTTTATTTTTCGTCCAAATCCCCCTGTAGGGGGACAGGCCCGACCTAAGACTAGGGGGGGGAAGGATTTCATGGCGTGGGCCACGATAATTCCCAGATTTCATGGCGCCACTCCTTATTTCAATACGTCCCTGCCCCCCCCCCCCCCCGCCCCTGGACCGCGCACATGCCGCTGGCCAGGAGTTGCGCCCCCCCCCCCCCCCCTCTTGGACGCTCCCCACTTGGCCGCCCCCGACTGGGGGAAGGGTTTCGATTCTCGTGGGCCAGCGTCACGTCACATTCAGTTGCGGCGTCTGAGGAGAGGGGGTCGAGGGATTCCACTCTGGGTTGTCGAATAGTTCCCGTGCCAGGTTGGCAAGAAGCAGCACCGCACTCGCGACGAGTTGAATGTCAGCCAGCGTGGACCCCAACCAGTAATTTCTTGAAGCGTATGCGGTGCAAGCTAGGTGGTGCAACTCATATCGTGCTATAGCTGGATGGAGCGAAGCAATGCAACGGAACGCAAAATAAAGCAACGGAATGCAATGCGAACCAGTGAAAAGCAACGCAAAGCAATGCTAAGATACGCAACGCAATGCAATGCGAGGCATAGCGATGCAAAGCAAAGAGCAAAGCAAAGCAAGCGAAGCAGTGCAATGTGAAGCAATGCGCAGCAAGGCAACCGAATGCAGCGTAGTCAAACACGATGCAAAGCGATGCAAAGCAATGCAACGGAATGCAAACCAATGGGAAGCCAGGCAACGCAATGCAAATCCTTGCAAACCATTGCGATCCAACGCAAAGTAATGCAAATCAGTGCAACGCGATGCCAAGCAATGCAACGAAATGCGACGCAATGCAGAGCAATGCCGAGCAATGCAAAGCAGTGCCGAGCAGTGCAAAGCAGTGTAAAGCGATGCGAAGCAATGCAAAGCAAGGCGGCGAGGAGGTGGCGGGCGGCGACCACGCGGTGACGGGGTGGCGACGGCGGCCACATTGCGGCCAGACCGCCACCTGGGTCCAGACGACCGGCGGCGGCCACGGGGCGGCGACGGCGGCCACAAGGCGGCGGACCCGACGCGCAGGCCCAGACGACGGGCGGCGACGTGGCGGCGACGGGGCGGCGACGGCGACCACATAGCCGCCAGACCGACGCGCAGGCCCACTTTCTTCGAAAAGAAAGCCGGAAGCCCTGAGCGCAGCGCGTTCACACGTGTGGCCGCTCGACGAAACACGGTGCGTGCCGCGGCCTCCGCGAAGCAGACGGCGCACGAAGGAGACGACGCGTGGCGCCTTCCGGCGCTGGGCCGCCCCCTTCTCCGCCGCCCCGTCCGCCACCTCCGCAGATCCCCTGCGTGTTCCCCTCGCCCTCCTTGCCCATGCCTCCCCGCTCCCAGTGGGATCCGCCATGGTCCGCCTGTGCGGGTGCGCCCACCTCCTCCTCCTCCTCCTCCTCCTCCTCCTCCTCCTCCTCCTCCGTAGCCATTTTGGCTCAAGATGCCTAGTTCCGCAGGGGAACAAGTGGATACCGCTAGTCCGCGGCCAGTGCCAGGGCTCTTGAGCCCGACAGCTTTCAACTCTCCGTGTGCCTCCTGCTGCCCGCAGGTGAGCTTTCTCTGTTCCTCAGCTCGTCCATGGCGCCTCCGCAGCAGCGCAGCGCCTACGTCAAGTGCTACTCCTGCTCGTACGCCTGGAACTGGAAAACCAAGCAGACGTGCTACTGGTGTGGCAAAGCCTTGGCGCCGTGGACAGATGCCCCGCCTCCGGTTCAAGGAGCTTGGGCGGCCCGCGTCACAGCCGCAGCCCAGGCCGAGTCCAAGTGCACCCAGCAGTCCAGCCCCGAGGGAGATTGGGAACCGTGGTCATCATGGCCCAAGTCCCGCCGCCGCCGCGGCAAGGGCAACGGCAAGGACCAAGAGGACGACTGGTGGGCCAGCAAGAACGACACCCCCAAGGCTCGCTCCGCCGAGGACATCCTGGCGGAGCTCCAGGCGATCGCCCCCCACATCGACAAGGCAGCCATCGACGGCATCAAGTCGCAGATTCCGCCGCCCCAGCCGCAGAAGCCAGCCGACCTCAACGACATCTACAGCCGCGCCCAGGCTACGGAGCGCCGCTGCAAGAACAACCTGGAGAGGCTGCTCGAGAGCGAGCAAAAGGCGCTCAGCTGGTACACAGAGCGCAAGCAGGCGTCGGAGGAGGCCGCCTACAAGTTGGCAGAAGCCCAGGCCGAGGCCCAAGCGGCTCTCGATGCACTCCAAGCCGCTCGCAAGGGCGGCACAGCTACTCCTACGCCGTCGCAGCAGAACCCGACGTTCAACCTCACCAGCCTCCTCGAGGACGGCGACATCTCTATCGAAGCGGGTGCGGCGTTCGATCTCCAAGGCCTCGACATCGACGACAGCGACCGCCAGGCATGGGAATCCCTCCAACAGCGCTTCGCCACGGAGCTCAAGGCCAAGGTCACGGAGCTCTTCGGCAACACCGCCAGCCGCATCAGCCAGCTCCGCGCAGAGGCCAGCACCATGCGCACGCGCTTCGCCTCCAAGCGTCAGCGCGCTGACGAGCATGGACACGCCAGAGAGGGAGGTGGACCACCGCCCGCCGCCTCGGCTGCAGCAGGCGAACCCCCAGCGACAGCCGCAGCGGACGCTGAGGGCACTGCGCCCTCTTCGCCAGCGGCGCCAAGCGATGAGCCTCCCGCACCTGCTGCTGGCGCTACTTCTGACGGCGGCTATGCCACACAGCCTGTGCCAGCGCTCAACAAGGACCCCGACCTCGAAGACAAGGCACAGAAGATGCTCAGCCAGATGCGCAAGCCCACTGCGACCGCCGCGGCTGGAGCGCAGCAGCCTCTTTAGCCGCCTACAACCCGACCCTGGACGGAATGGTGAGACGGGACGCCTACCGTCAGAGACCAAGAGCTACGACAACCCACCTTTCATCAACACAATGGACGCAGTCCTCGACCCGTTCGACGAGCTGGCCGAGTTGGACGCCCACATCGATTTCGCAGTCACAGATCAGTGCGCTACCGCCCCGCCCGAGACGCTGTCCTCGGAAGGGGGCGATGAGGCGGCGCAGTCCGTCGACCCCGCGGCAAGGGACCCAGGGCAGCCGCAGCGTGCAGCGCGCGCCGACCCTGATGCCGCTCCGCCCGAGACGCTGTCCTCGGTAGGGAGCGATGAGACGGCTCAAGCTGTCGACGTGCAGGTGGTACAGGAACCAGGGGAGCCTTCTCCAAAGGCAAACCCTGTTGCCGCCCCGCCCAAGACGCAGTCCTTGGTAGGGGGCGATGAGATGGCGAAAGCTGTCGACACGACCGCAGGGAAATGGTCATGGAAGCCCAGCAGCCCGAGAGCCGACCCCAGACCCGCCTACCAAGACGAATGCCATACGAAGCCCACACTGTCAGACCATTCCCTGTTCTTCTCCAACATTACTCAGTGGGGACCACAGTCGGAGAAATGGCTGGCAGGGCCAGGCAAACAATATCAGATGGTAGCATTGGTTGAAACACGCATCTCGTCTGGAAAAGCGCCGCTCATCTACGACAAGCTAGCAGCGGACGGTTGGAGGATATCATCGACTACGGCCACGCCTACCAACAGATAAGACGGCGGCAACACGGGTGGCGAGATCATCCTTTCCAGGTACCATGTCCAGGCCACCACGTTCAACCACCTCCGTGACCTCGCCATCTCCCAGCGCAGGCCCGACCCGTTCCTCGGCTTCACGCCCATGGTATGGCACAGACGCTCTGGCAACCTAGTTGTTATTGCAGCGTATCTGGAACCCCACAGGCAGATCGAGGGTGCAGTGCACGATAAGCTACTTTCGCTGGGAGCCTTCGTTACTATGCTCACGGACCCTTGGATCATCCTGGCCGATTGGAATATGGCACCTGAGCAGCTCGCAGCGACAGAGTGGCTCGCCAAATGGAATGCTACCATCGTGCGAGCACCTGGATCCGCCACGTGCGACAAGGGCCAGGGACTCACGCTTGATTTCGCATTGGTCAAGACTGGCATCGAGCACACAATCTCCATTCGCCAGTGCCCCACCGTACCCTGGGCCACCCATGTTGGCCTTGAAGTTCGAGCAGACAGTGCAGACCCCTGGTGGTATCAGTCGATCGATACTCCCATGGCATTCCCCATAGTGGACAGACCCAGGATCCCGCCGGACCCCAACAGCAAGACCGCCATCAAGAAACGTAAAACAGCTGAAGCTCGAGCAGCACGTCTACGTGATCTACCTCCTGAACTCCAACAAGCAGCAGCGCAGCTCCAGCCACAAGACGAGCCCGCAGCACAGGAACCTATCCCTTATGCTATCCCGATGGACTTGTGGGAAGAACAATGGCAGGAAGCGGTACCCACACGTTGTAAGCAGCCTCACGCGCACTTCGCGTACAGACACTGGGTGCACGACGCCGACGACCTCAACCTCAAGTACGCCAAATGGGTCACGGCGCTCGAGAACACCATGATCAGCCACCACCAGATCGACTCGAAGGAAGCCGCAGCATACACAGGCCGAGCCCAAGGCTACCAGTTATCTTGGAAGAAGACAGCCGCCGCCCCAGGCCGCGTACACGTACACGACCCTCAGTCGGAATGGTGGGCAATCACGCTCACCCTCATCAAGCGCTACGCTGCGCTTCACGACAAGCCCAAGCACACAGCGCTCATGCAGCAGCAGGCCTCCATCATCCAGCAGCGCGCGGACCACTTCAACACTCACATGCACTACCTCCAGTTCGAGAAGGATGAGGACACCATCTTCCGCTGGTTTGCACTCGTCTGGGCCCCGCACTTGGACAAGGATGACACCGACGACTTGGTCGCCATTACCGCTACCTGGGCCTCCAGGGCTCTCTCAGCCGCCCTCGCCAAGTCCAAGAGGGCCTACGGGGCTTGACTCGCCCAGCAATGGAAGCACCGCCCTGGAGTACTACACGCCCATGTCAAGCCAGCGCCCGTACGTCACATCGAGGCCTACACGGCCAACCTGACCATCGCCGACCCCACCGTTATCATGGACAACAAGAAGCAACAATGGCAACAAGTATGGCAAGCCACCGAGACCTCTGACGACATCCTACAGGCCCTGTCAAAGGCCAAGGCAGCAGCCGCCCATCAACCGCTCGAGCCCATCACAGCCGAGATCGTACACCGCTTTCACGGCCGCATGCCACCCAGTAAAGCACACGGAGTTGACGCCCTAGGACCTCGCGACCTCCATCGACTACCAGAACCAGCAGTCGAAGCTTATGCAGACATCCTCAACTCAGTAGAGCAAGCAGGCATCTGGCCACTACAAATTTCAGGCACTATTGCAGCTCTCGCCGCCAAGAAGTCTGGAGGCGACAGGGTCCTCGGCATGCTACCTCATATGGCCAGACTCTGGTCTCGCATTAGATCGACTGCATCGGCAGCCTGGACGCAAGGTCTGGACGACTTTTGGACTACAGCCATCAAAGGCTCCTCAGCTCCCCAAGCCGCCCTACATAGGGCCTTGTTAGACGAGACAGCCTCAGCACTTGGCATACAGTCGGCCACCTTGCTATTAGACATCCAGAAGTTCTACGACAATATTAAGCTCGCCAACCTCATCATGGTCGGCCTCAACTGCGGCTTTCCCCCCATCATTCTATTACTGGAAGTACAGCTATACCTAGCGCCCAGATTCTTGCGCAGTCGACAATGGGTGAGTATGCCTATCTTCGCCTCCAAAGGCATCATTGCAGGCTCCCCTCACGGCACCACATTGGCACGACTCATTTTACTACCAATTCTTCGGCAAGCCCAAGCTCAGGCAGAGCTTGCCCAGATGTGGACCTTCGTAGACGACGCTGTTCTTCGAGTCGAAGGAGTCCTACGAGCTCTACAGAAGCATCTCCCCCGTGCCGCCAAGACGCTCTGCGACGGTTTAAAGGAGTTCGAGCTGCCTATCTCAGACAAGACCGTCCTCATCGGCTCCTCCCCCAAGGTCCGCCACTCGCTAGCCAAGAAAATGCGACAGTACGACATCCCAGTTACTGCGACCGCCACGGCCGTCGACCTTGGAGTTGACGCGGCCGCGGCTACTCGACGTGTACAAGCCAAAGCCAGGAAGCGACAGAGCTCAGCCACAGCTAGGTTTCGCAAGATACACCGACTACGGAGCACAGCACAGCAGGCCCGAATCTCAGCTGGACTGTGGCGCACTGGCGCTCTCCCAGAAGGAGTATTCGGTCATCAGGTGCACGGCCTCGCTCGGCACGCTCTACTACGATGGCGGCGTCAGGCCGCCATTGCTGCCACGGGCGCAGCAGCGGGCCGATGCCTCACTTCCCTCCTCGGCGCCACCTTTGACGGCATGGACCCAGGAGTTTCCCTAAGGATCGAGTTCATAGAGGCATGGCTTCAGCACTGGATACGCCACCCGAGCACGCACGCCAGGATCATCAGGGCCTGGCCAAGGATCAAGACCACCTTGCTCGCCGCAGGCCCCAAGCTGTGGCGCAAGGTCAAGGGGCCCACAGGCGCGGCCATCGCGACCCTGCTGGAGGCCAGTTGGGAGCCGACCTCAGCTACCACGTGGAGGCGTACAAAGGACGGCTACATTGAGGAGTGGAACCTCCCCCCTGCCGATGACCCTGACCTCCTCGACGCTGACATTCACACAGTATTGCAGGACCCCAGCGAGGATTTACACAGGCTCCTCTGGACCCAGGCCGCTACGCATGCCCATGGTGACACGCTGGCTGGAGGCGCAGACATGGTCACTATCCGCATTGAACAAAGGAGGTTCCTCGCAAACGGCGACTTCAGCGACTGGGCCCTCAACAACACCATCATCAGTGGAGGACAGTGGACCAGAGACCGCCTCCACAACGCGGGCTACCAGATCGACAAGAACTGCGACCGATGCAGCGCTGGAGTTCCTGAAACCTTGGTTCACCGAATGTGGCAGTGCGAGGCGAATGTGGGACCCGAGTTTGAGGCCAGTGACAAGCTACTGCCGCGTGCCGCGGCGGGGGTCGATGCCGACCCCGCCTTGTGGCTCCGTGGCATTCCCTCTGTCGCTCTCACCACGCCCACGTTCGAGCCTTTGATTGGGAGGGACGGGTGGGAGTTTGTTGGGGCGGTGCGGGAGGGATTGCCGTCTTGGGAAGGAGCTCGTAACGCAGAGGGCGAGTTGTTTCTCTTTGGTGACGGGTCTGGCGGAGCCTTTTCCGACGACGTCAGGCGACGTCGCGTTGGTTCTGGCCTCGCGGCCCTCCGTTGGGACCCTCCCTCGGCCTCCTGGGCCCTCCGCGCGGGCCTCCTTGCCCCCCTCCCAGGCCCCCGCCAGACCGTCCCAAGAGGCGAATTATATGCGTTTTGCCTGGCACTTGAGACGTGCCAGCAGGATTTCACGTTTGTTACAGATCACCTAGCCCTCCTGCGTGGTTGGCAGAATGGCAGATGTCTCAGGCCAGGCAGCCTTGGAGGTAAGAATAAGAATGGGGATCTCTGGCTGAGAATTCGGCACCTCGTGCAGGATCGACCTGGCGGCGTCTCCTCGGTCACGGTGCTCTGGGCCCCATCTCATGCCGATCCCCAGACTTTGCATGGTTTCCAAAAATTCTTGCTCTCGGCAACCAGCAAGCCGACGAGCTCGCGGGAAGCGCGGCCCACAAGTCGGCCACCCTTGCCCTCCCGCCCGTTCCCAGGACCGATGAATACGATGCTATCGCAGCCATTGTCCGACAGAGGGCACGACTGATCCTACGTTCCTTAGGCAAGAATTCAGAGCCTCGAGGACTGTGGCCAGAGAGGCAACCCACCCAGGAGGCAGCCCCTCGTTCTATGTTGCAGACCGCGATCGCGGCTTCTCAGCACAAATTCGAGCGGTGTGCAGATAAATGGCGATGCTCTGCCTGCCTCATCATCGTCGATGCGTGCCACGTTATTCCAGCTGCCGCCACGGAGTGTGTACCGCCTTGCCCCCTTCCCGAGTTTGCTGCGTGTGGCGAGGTGCTGTGGTCGCGGGGTCCCCGTGTGATCAGTGGCAAGGCGATACACCCCTCCCACACGTTGGCCACCATCCCCAAGTGGCAAATGTTCTTCTGTGTGAAGTGCGGCCATACGGCCACACACCAGGTTAAAAGCCTACAGTTTCCTTGCCCTCTCTCCCACCAAGTGGGAGAGCGCAGGGCCCTGGGACCCACTGGCAAAGGCCTCGAAAACCTCAGCAGGATCAGGCGAGGCCTTCACCCGTCCAGATCGGGTCCCAGCAAGTCTGTTCTAGAGGCTATGCACGTTTCGGCAGCCGAAGCCGCGATCGGTTCCTACGCGGCGGGTGCTGCCTCCGAGTAAATTGTGAGGCCAGGGGGGCCTGTCGCGGTGTGCCGTGGGATGTCGCCCCCCACGGCCCTCCGAGAAATATTGGATGGCCCCCCTGGCGTCTCTGGGTTCCGAACGGACTACGTCCGATTGCTCCACTCCACTCCACTCCTCCTCCTCCTCCTCCTCCTCCTGCCACGCATTGTGCGCACCGGCAGAGGTGCGGGCCCCAAGTCGTGCCTTGTCTTACCTTCTGTCCTCCTCCTCCTCCTGTTCCTCCCCGCTTCAGCCCTTCGTGCAGCAGCACGGCGGCTGCATCCCTCGAGGGGCTCTCACGGGGGGGGGGGCCACCCCGGGCCGTCTTGGGGGCCGTCCTGGGCTGCGGCGTGGCTGGGGCCCTCCTCGCGAGAGCCCCATGGAGGT